ATCAGGTTTTCTGACTGACTTCTGCTTTTCAATCTTCTCCTCTTCGGTGGTCTCTGTAGTTTCTTCGTCTCCAGTGGCTTCTTTTGTTTCTCTATTGCAAGGTATTTTACTGAAATTGTTCTAGTAGAATTCACATTTGATTCATCATTTTTAGCAACTGACTCTCCTTTGGAAAAATGATTCTCTTCAGAATCTGCTTCTGCAGTGGCGTTTCTCCTGGTTGGCTTCAGAGCTAATTGTACTGCGCTTGAGTTTCCTTTTTGCACTAATTCATCTTTAATAGCATCATTTTCATTTACAGCAGAATCTGCATCACTCGGGACATCATCAGAATTCAAAATCATGGAATCATTGCCACTAGCTTTGATTGCAGATGAAGTATCCAGTTTGATCAAATTCTGTGCTGTAACAGGAACTATACTAACAGGATCAGTTTCTGGTTTTGGAAGTAAAAAACCATAATTAACTACTCTTCCATATCCTTCTTCAGAACCATTTCCATTACAATGAGCATTTTTATGCCCTTCGGAATCACTATCAGATTTCTTATTTTCTGCGATAACGCAAATATTTGATTTAAATAAAGAACTATCGATTTCGAATTCACCCTTCAAATTTCTCTCTATCAGCTTAGTTTGCTCATTACCAAACCCCGTTTAACTGTAGATCTGTCGATTTAAGTTGAGGAGAACTTATCTTCTTATGTATATCTTCTCGAATTAGCGTTACTTGACTACCAGTATCTATTAAAGTATCGATTTGCAAATTACCTAAATTAACAGCTTTATGTCTTATCTTTCTGATAAGTCTGAGTTATTGATGTTACAGTTTTGGCATCTTGGATATTTTCAGGATGATGTTTTCGAACAATCTGCGGCTTTGTGTCCAAATACATCGCATTTAAAATACTTAAATCCTTTACTTTTATTGTTACATGAGTTCGATTTATGACCGATACTTCCACAGTTATAGCACTTTGGTTCTTTACTCTTATTACAGGTCGATTTAGCCTAAACTTCCACAATTAACGCGTGCTCTTTATCTTACTAGGTACAGCGCTGTGTGTTGAGTGATAGTACTTGAATAACCCTTAATTTTCGTATCCTGGAAAGCGAATTTTCTAATAAATTTTTAATTTCTCTTTGAATTCAGAATAGGATTTACACCCATACAAAATGATTTTGTTACTTACTCTGATCGAGTATCCCATTGATTACATAATCACGAATTGATGAATCATCAACAGAACCTCGACTGGCTATTTCACGCATGGTAATTAAATATTCGGAAGGGATTCACCAGGTTTTAAGTGTCGTTTCTGTAACAAATATGAGTTGTGCACTGTTTATTTTAGAACCAAATTCAGATAAAAGATTTTCTTTTAATTTGTCCCATGATATTATACGCTTCAAAGATCTAATAAATACTTTAGCAGAACCAGTAAGCAATTTTTTAGCAAACACAATTTCTGTAATTCCGATAACTTAAATAATTTAAAAGATTCTTCTAAATCACCAATGAAGGATTCAACTGGATATGTATCAGTGCCATTAAATTCAGAAACAGTTTCTAAAATAATCACGAAATGTAAGGAAATATTGCTAGGCATTATAATGTTTTCATCCACTGAGTTATTTATGGGAGGTGATTCTGACCGAACAGAATTAATATCATCATTTTTATCAGAATCATAAACACTTTCGTTTCAGATAACTCATCATCGTCATCACTTTCGGATTTTAAAAGCTTAAAATCACAAAGACTATTCAATTATAAATCACAGTTTTTATCAGGATTTGAGTCATAATTAAGATGGAACAAATTACACACAAAATAAAATCGTTTGCAGTAAAAGTTTTAAGTAATTTTGTTTTGTTTCTTCAATATTAAAATCAGATGGAAAACCGCAAAAGTTACGCAATCTAGCTCTATTTTTCCGATCACCCAAAGTTCCAAACACAATTTGATGTAAAGTTTAATTGACTTAGTAGGCCCAGTCTTTAAAGAATTTGAAATTCTAGGAATAGAATTTAAGGTAGTCATCTTAATTCACAGTATCATAGAACACTATTCTTAGAAGTAACAATGTGGAAATAATCGAAACAAAACTTACTTATTTTGTAATATTCATAATGCTTCTTCCTAGGCTCATCGCGGCCTGAGCGCCCAAATCTGTAGAATCGGAACTTAATTTCTAGGAATATGATGTTTGTAAACTTACTTCCGATGTGGCTGTCTAGGGGCTAATTAACTAGTCCGATTTACAAATAACTTGAATTTTTAATGAAACATGAATAGTTGCAAGAAACTACAATGTAATTACATACGTAGAAGGAAATAGATGAGATTATTTACAGATGAAGAAAAGGAATCGCCTTTACATTCAAACATCTTTTAATCGCGTCATCGTCTTAATGGCGGAATAGTCTGACTTCTATCATCGGAAAAGTAAAAGATTTATTCTCACAGATAAAGATTCTCACAGATGTGGGATGAACGATGCCATCCCACACTTATAACACAAGGCGAAAACCACGAATACGCCCGTACAACCAGCCTTTCGCCAGGTTTCGAAACCGAACGGAAATACCAGTGTTCAGCTACTTTACCGCTCAGCTCGGCCACAAAAATCCTTGCTTTTCTGTATCCAGGTTAATCGGGTAATTCTGGAAACAGAAAAGCAAGGATTTTTGTGGAAGAGCGATTTCAATCGATTTCAGTGTTCCTCCTCCTGACGCAGTGGCATTGAGGTTGGTTGAATTCTTGTTCTATTATGTTCTTTTTATTTAAATTTAATTGATTTTTTGAATTAGGGTGCTGTTTATTTGAGGAGTTTTTGCTTTAACTTTTATTAATTTCTTCATTGCATATATAGGATTATTTGAAATTTATTACTTATGAATTTCGATTTTTGGTCTTTGTGAAAAAATGGTTCTAAATTTCTTACTTTGTGTCTTTATTGATAATTTTTCAGCAGCTTAATGAGCGAAAATACTAGGCATGATTATATTTTGTTTTTAAAAAATTGTTTTGTAATTAAATATATATAATTGCACACACACACACATATATATATACTATATATGTAGTACACCACAAATTTATATTTAAAAATAAAACTATCCAGAGTACTTCCGCACTTCTGCACAGAAAGGCTGCTTAAAATTAATAAATAAAAACAATAAGTAAGAAATTCAGAACAAATTTCACAAAGACCTCAAATAAATGTAAAGTTAGCCAAAAGTCAGAAGAATTAAAGAAATGTAAAATGGAAAAACCAAAAATCGTAAATACGTAGGAAGAGAATTGCAATCAAATCTGATGTAATGCTATTAAGAGGAAGTACATCACATTTAATTGAATCCCCCCCTTGGAAAACCACTGCCTTTCTGTTATCCACAATTAGTTGATGAAGCATTTCAAAAATTTCGGGTGAACTGTTATAATTAAATAAGTTAGAATACGCAGTGGTTTTTAAGGCAGGGCTTCAATTGAGTCTGATGAACCTCCTCTTGATAACGTTATATCAGATTTGACTGCATTCATTTTCATTTTCATTTATTTTTTGTATTTTACATTTCCTTAATTCTTCTGACTTTTAGTTAATTTTAAATACTTATAGGGAATTTCGGAATTTAATGGGATGAAAATTTCACTTCTTTTGGGTCTTTGTGAAATTGGTTCTAAATTTTTGACTTATTATTCTTTACTTATATGGATTTGTCAGGCGAAACATGTTTGCATAATGTTAGTTAATCAACTTGGTTGGAGGCTTCAAGCACTTTTCCCTTGGCAAGTTCTGTTTCAAGCTTTGAACAGAGAAGATTAACAAAATAATTTTTGTGCACGTTTTTCAATTTTTCTGTAGTTTGGATAGGTTTTTTTTAATATTTTAAAATTTACTTTATCAATTCTATAACATAGTGTTTCAGGAATTTTGAAGTACAAATGTTTTTAACGACTTTTACCAGGTTTCAAACTTCATTTCTTCTTTAAATTCATTTTTAAATATCAGCAGCTAAAAGTTATTTTTTTGACTAACTTAGTCATTCGATTTTTAGATACGTTTTTACTACTTTTCTACTATATATATATATATGTTACGGTGAAACACCGAAATCTGGAGAATGTCGACTTTCACCGGTGAATGTCAACATTCACATAGTCTCTTGGTGTATGTCCGAAATGTTTTCCAAATACTCTTATTTCTGACTTACACCGGTGAATATCGACATTCACCATGCACTAATGGTGAATGTTGAACATATAACAATATTATATTTTCTTCTCCGTAATTCAGTCGCGAATAAACGCACTTGAGACTCGAAATAAGAACTTAAGAACATGAGAACCTAAAACACACAATACATTCAAAATGAGAAAGGAAAATAATAGAAGTTAAAAACTTACTTAATTGTACAGTACGTTCTAAATGGGAAAATAAAATAACAGTCATAAAAAACTTACTAAATTATGTGATTCAAATCTTATTTATTGCAACAACTTAAACTGTTATGGACTTTTTTGACCTCTCTTTTTGACTTACACCAGAGCATATCTGTGATTGTCGACACACACCGGTGAGGGTCCGAATATACAAGAATGTAGTGCGATATTCGATCTTTCACCAACGTATTTGGTGAATGTTAACATTCTCCGGTGAAAGTCGACATTCTCCAATTTCGGTCTTTGACGGTAACATATACACTTTGAGTACCACCGATCGCGTGAAAAAGGAAAGATGCAGAACTACAATAGATGCAATAGCAATCTCATATACAAAATTTCAGTATTTTTTTACTGATCGTTTGTGATTTAGTCGAGATACATACGTACATATGTACCTACTGACGTCACGAAAATATCTATTTTGAATCCACTTTACAGTACGTTTTGAAATAAACCTTGCTTTATCTGTCCAATTTCAAGACTTCCTTTAGTTCATATAAGAAAGATAAAATGAGAAATATCAAAAGAGCTCATGATTTTATTTTATCTAGGTTATTTTCAAAGCGAAGCACGCTTCTTCAACGAAAGTCAGAGGGGATATCGCTCTGGACGACATAGAACTGACACCAGGAAAATGTCGAGATACTGAAAGTAAGTTGTGCTTTATTTTAACATCACTTAAAATTTAGGAAAATTGAAATTTTAAAATGGTAGTTACTAAGAATTATGCAAATAGGACACAAAATTAACTGGAAATTATTGCTCTTTTAACTGCGTTTAAAGCTGACTATTAATCAAATACAGAATAGGCTGATGAATATAAGTGTAATGTTTTGTTGTAACAGTAAAAATACTCATTTAAAATATTTTTTGTTTCAGGGGAAGCAGGAAAGCTTTGCACTTTCGATGACTATGATTGTGGCTACGCTCCATTGAGGAAACTCTCTCTGAACTGGGAATGGAAAGCACAGGGACGAAAGACGAGCTCATTGGATGTTTTACCGAGCGTCGACCATACACTAGGAACAGCAGCGGGTAAGATGGGAATAAAAACTAAATTTGAAGTTCATACACTTCTAACCCTAAGCATGTCTGTTAGTCTGAAAGAAAGTCGTGGCAACACCTTTCGAAATAAGGCATTTTTATGTCCACGGCGTGGGACTGTTGCCACTCGGAAAAATGAGTACGAAAATTGGCGTTTTCAGAGGAGTTATTAATATCGGGCTGGTTAAAGTCGAACGAAGATGAGAATGGTCGAAATGAAACGAATTTTTGGAATCCCGGGGGGGGATACCTTTCTCGAAACTCAGCTCCCCGCCATTCCGAAGGAGATGATGTCACAAAGAGACAAGCAATTAAACTGACAGATTTGCACAGATTTTAACAATATAGATTCTCGGGTGTTTCTTAATTTGTTAAAACGATGGATACTCTTCTTTATCCGGACCGGATTCAGAAATGCATGCATCTATGGATGTTTCATGTATGCATGCATTGTCTATACGTACGTATGTATGTGGGTGCATACATTTATCATTCAGAAATGCATGTATGTATGCATGTATGTGTTTCATGTATGCATGCATGTCTATACGTACGTATGTATACACGCAAGTGCATACATTTCTGTTTCAGAAATGCATGTATGCATGCATGTCTATACGTACGTATGTATACACGCAAGTGCATACATTTCTGTTTCAGAAATGCATGTATGTATGGATGTATATGTTTCATGCATGCAGGCCTGTATATACACACACATATACGTACATACACAAGTGCATACATTTCTGATTCAGAAATGCATGTATGTATGGATGTATGATGTGTTTCATGTATGCATGCATGTCTGATAACAAAAGTCACAATAACAAAAGTATACCAAAAGATGTTCGGACAAAAGTACAGCAAAATTGTTTCAATAATCCTATTGTTATTGCCTTAACTTTATTTTTTATTGCGTGCCTTAAGGATTAGTTAATGAAATAAAAAAAGAAATAAAATTTTGCTCTAAATTGTTCCTAAAAAGGTTTGCAAACTTTCTTTAGTATTTCTTTTGAAAGTAAAGAACATAAAATAAAGCTGAAAGAAAAATCCTCTAATTAAATTTTTTTAGTTTTAGTCACAATTGTAGAATTGAGAGATTATAAACCCTTAATTTGTTTTTTAATGGATATGCCTGCATTGCTTGACATTTTCTAATCAGCTAGAATTTTCAATTAGACGCAAAGCTCCAAATTTATGTATGATATGTATTATATATGTATTGCTGTATGATATAAAACGAAGAAGTACAAGTATACCGTTGAGTTGTCTAGAAAGGCATCTTAGCCATTATGACTAACATCTAAGGAAAATTTCATTACAACGATTTTTCTTCCTTTTAAGATTTAAGTGGAAAAAAAAACCATCCTTCTTTGAAAGCTACTTGTGTACCCCCTCCCGCGTATACTCAGTGGGTTTATGATAATTTGAGAACCATTGCCGTAAGTAATTTCTTGGAACATAGAGCATTTTTCAAAACCAGTTTTTTATTATCAGTAAAAAAGTTACCAAACATGGCGAAATCAAATTTGCAAAAGAAATCTCGTCTTCCTAAACTTTTTTGGCATAAATCAATAATCATATCACTCAGTAAATCACTTTAGCTTTGAACTTTCATTTTTAATATACTACATATACATATTTTTGAAAATCGTATATATAATATTGTTACGTTCTACGAGTTCGTGGATTTGGAGTGACTGACAGCAACACTTGACAAAGAATCATAACACAATTTATGAGCCAATATTGCACAGGAGAGTTCCAAAAGCACGTTTACAGGCGTCAGAAAACTACGGTAAACACTTTGAAACAAAAACCAACACAACTTTCAGTGAAGACAGCTTCACTGCAAAGCTCTGAAGTACAGCTCCCGACTCGGTTCTGTTGCCCTCGGAGCTAAAGACACTTCTACTGAACTCAGAGTTTTCTCGATATTCTCCACGATACACTCGACGATGCACTCTCGCGATGCACTGCTACTCCACACACACAGGCAGTGCTTTGCCCTGCCTTCGAGAACATTCTGGGATAAACTGGTAAATATTCGTTCTAGAATGTTCTCGATCCGTCTAATGCATATTGCCGATTTTGTCACAAAATGGGCGATTTTTCGCCAAATCTGGCAAGCATGCCTTTCCTTGTGACTTTCTGGCAACCCTGAATCCGCTTTGCGGGGAAGCTGTCTTACCGCAGCTGGACATTTCGTTAGAATATTCTAAATATCATGAGCTTTTGATCTAAAGAATAGATTTTGAACTGTAATCAACATAATTTATGTTTTTCTTATCATTTTTTCTTTTAAAGGTGGTTACTGGTTTACTGGAACCCCTGGATCGTCATGGAGCACTCTCGAAACAACGATGCTTAACAGTCCAAGTTACAGCAAGCCAAAAAATCCCCTTAACTGCTTACATTTTTACTTTTATATGGATGGAGACGGAACTGCTTGGTTTTGGAAAAGAGTGGATGAAGCTTACGTTCAGGCCCAAATCACGTATGGGGCATCAAGTAAGTCCTCCTTTTATTGGCATTATGCCAAGGGTCTCCTTTTAAGTCTTTTTAACCCTAGTTTTATCTGTTCAGTAGTTAAAAAGGTCAGTTAAAAACCACATGTTATCAATTGAAAAACAGTATTTTTTATAAAAATAACAATGAAACCATTTTGTTTTATTCCTATTGAAATTTTAAGAAACGAGTATGCAGTGCAGTAGTTCCAAGAAATAGTAAAGCACTTGGCCTTCCGCTATAGCAGCAGTTATCAAGCGAGGGGAATTTCATGGTCTGAAGGGGTGGGAGAATGGGATCAGCCTTTTATTTACGTATTAAGTATTTAGTTTTAGTTTATGAATATAAAACAAACTAACAAACACAAACAAAATTCAAGATTTAGTATTTATTAATATTTTCTGTACATTTCTCGTTTAGGTTATAAGGTATTTCTCCCGCCTTCTTAGCATACCGTCGTGGTGTAGTGGTCAGCGCTCTCGGCGCGTACCGAGAGGTGCAAGGTTCGAGTCCTGGCGAGGGCATTGCTCATTTTTCATATCTCCTGCTTCGAAATAATCTAATATCTCTACAAGGTTATAAAATACGTTATAATATAATCTAAATTTAAATAAATGTGTATATATTTTCGAGGTTTCAAAAGTAGGAGGAGGGGAGAATGATACTATAAGCAACGGTGAAAGGGGGTGCACGAGGAAAAAATAATTGAGAACTACTGTACTGTACTTTTGTATACTTTATTGCTGTACACCTTGCACACACACAAAGAGGACAGTTCTGTACCTCCCGTTTTACTAGCCCGATTGACGAGATGTGTGTTTCATGTCTCAAAAGTGCGATTTAGATTTATATATAACATTGTTTTAGGTATTCTGATACAAATTGAACTTTTTCTGAAATGACATGCTTATCTTTTTCATATTTCGATTCTACGACTCAAATTATGCTCAAATACCGAGTTTCATAAAAATCGCAGAAGCAGATTTTAAAAATTAGCTTTCAAGTTAGCTCCCCACTATTAATTGAATTTTATATATACAATTTACATATTTGACGGCATATAAAACGCACTGGCATATAAGACGCACTCTTATTTAGAAGGTCACACACAAGGAAAAAAAAGTTTCAATTGTCCGCGCGTCAGCGCGGTACCACAATAACTTAAAATGTGGTTTCTTTTAGTTCTCACGTTTCGTAAAAGCCAAATAAACAATCATTGAATGCAATTAACAAACATATTTTTTTTAAGGAATAACCAACGGCAAGCTATTTTGAACATGATATCTAAATTTCAATAACGAATAAATGAATGAACGGCAAGCAATCAAACATAATACAAAATAAAGTAGAAACACCAAAGAATACAGATTCAAAGAAAACGTTGCCTATCATTGCATTTTCTGTGCAATAGTTGTTTTTGTGCGCTTGATAAGCCTTCCCTTTTCATGAACCTGTAGCACCAGCCCTCAGACCCTGAAAATTTCTATGATGCCGGGCAAATCCTTTGGCCTCATTGATTATCATTTTAGTTGAAACACTTGTCGCAGATTTTTCCTTGTATCTATCACCCACATTTTTACGCATTTTCAAGTTCAGGCCGAGATGGAGCTGGCATCGAGTTATGTTTTGTTTTTCAGTAGTTTTCGGTTGATCTCTGCAGTCGCCAAGTACGTATCATTTTTCGTAGGTGGTGGCCGAAATGCCTGCTGCTGCTCTGTTCCCATGCACTTGGCGTAGTTTAACACTCCTAGTTTATACTGAATTGTATAGCTTAATCTCTTCTTTCCTGTAGTCTTATTTTCCAGGTATTTTTTAAAAACAAAGTTTTAAGCACCGATACGACACGTTATTAGTAGCCCGATACCGACACGTGTGTCGGCTGAGTCAAAGAAAGTCTATGTAAAGAAGGAAAGGCCTTGTAGACGTAATGTGACCGTCGAACCTGTTCGAACTTCGACATCAGCTTCGAAATTTGGCGCTTTTTGGCGACAGATATTTCACGCATGCGCAAAATAATTATGGCAGATGTAGAAAAAGTTATGTGGGTCTAGATCTTTATCCGGGCTAAAAATAGCATTCAGTATTGAAAGTTAACCTGTGTCCTTCACGTATAAGATGCAGGTAACCTTTTTGAGACCAAATTTAGGAAAAAAACGCGTCTTATATGCCGTCAAATACGGTATTCATAAATATCTCTTTTTCATTAGCGTTGCTAAATTTTTTCTTTCACAATTCGAAATTTTAGTTCAGTCCAAATAAAATTTGCAGATATTTTTTGATTTATTTTTTAAATATGTATTTTTTGGTAAATTTTTCGAAAACATTTCTAATTATAACCTATAAAATTTTTACCATCATATTAAAGTACTAGAAAGCCCGGTGGTCATACGAAATGACCACTGTTCTAGATAATATATATTGATCATTATAAATTGATTATAAACAGATGATTGCTAATGCAAACAAATGTTCACGTTTCCCCTGACACGCCCAATTTGCGTTCAATTGTAAACCTTTTCAAAAACAGATGATTGCTAATGCAAACAAATGTTCACGTTTCCCCTGACACGCTCAGTTTGCGTTCAGTTGAAAATTCAGTTTAAAATACAACGGCGGAATAAAATCGGGCAAAATTTTAAACTCTTTTACGCGAAAGGATATTTAGCATAGGAGTTTGGGTAAACATACCTGATGAGATGTACTACGCACAACTCGTTAGTTGGGTTCGTCTCCTTTAATTTCTAATCGTTTGCGAGTTTCTAGGTAATTCATGTGTAAATATAGTTAAATGCATAATAAGCAACAATTATATGAAATAAAAATATTTAAATGTTCTTAAATACTATAATAATTTAATTTAAGCAATGATAACTGCATGTATGGTGTCAGTGTGTATGGGTTATTTGAGTGCCGTGGCAATTTCACCTCAATGGCTTGTACAGTTACGCAAGCAACCAATAAACTATCGGCGACAAAAAGACACTTAAGCCGCATATAATAAAGATATTTCTAGGTATACCTGCAAAAAATTAGTTTTTTATTCAAAATTTCACAAGATACACGTGAACTTATATAGCAGCGCGTTTTGAAATTTTCCATATTTGTATTATAAACCATAATAATGCCAATTGTGCTTTACGTACTTAGTTAAAATTATTTGAAAGATGCATCTGTTTTCCGTTCGAGCACAACGAAAAGAAAAGTAAAATAAGTTACCGTGTAGACTAGAAGAGAAACATGCTAATGTGACAATCAAAATCGTAAAAGCAACCTTGTATTTAGCGTAAGTATATTGAGACACTCAATCGATTTCGAGGGCAGCTTAAGGTCCCTCCTCATCAGGAGAAAGAAATACCTAGAAAGAAGAAAAATAAAGGGGAAGGAGTCTCAGAAACACGTGGTCCTTATCAGCACTGCACGTGGTTATAACCGGATTTTTTGCTCAGCTCAGTAAAAGTAGGCGGCCAGTGTAACTCTGATTTAAAATCCGGTTATAACCATGTGCAGTGCTGATAAGGACCACGTGTTTCTGAGACTCCTTCCCCTTTATTTTTCTTCTTTCTAGGTATTTCTTTCTCCTGATGAGGAGGGACCTTTAGCTGCCCTGGAAATCGATTGAGTGTTTCAATATACTTACGCTAAATACAAGGTTGTTTTTACGATTTTGAAAGTTACCGTGTATTAAGAATTTTGCCAATTCTTGGCGAAGACTGAAACATGTGCGCCAAAGATAAATTATTAAATTTCTCGCTAAGTTTTTCAACCAAATTTTACAAAATTTAATATTTAGGCATCATTTGAATCGTAGAATCAAAATATGGAATAAAAGTTAGCATGCCATTTCAGAAAAATCGGATTTTGTATCAAAGTACCTATGTTAGAACAATTACTGTATACAAATGTAATATGTATCCCAAGTCGCCTTTTGGAGACACGAAAAACCCAAATTAACTTTCGTCAACTGGCCCGGTAGAACGAGAGATAATGGACTGTCCTTTTTTTGTGTGTGAAGTGAATATTGTACCTATTTTCTGAAAATAAATATTTTGCGTTTTAAACTTAGGTACATTACTGGTAACAAAGGCAAAGAACACAACGAGACACAGAGTATGGACATATGTGGAAGCCAAGGCAGAAATCACACAGAACTATCAGGTAGGTGAATCATATTATTTTCTGTAAGAATATTAAGTATTTTGAATAATAACTGAAAAATACAGAAAAGCATAAATGGCTTGTACCTCAATGGCTTGTACAGTTACGCAAGTATAAATACATTACGCAAGTACATACATAAAGTACCAAATACATCTAAAACAGATACAAAATTTTTTTTTTTTTTTTTTTTTTTTTTTTTTTTTTTACAATTAAAATTAGCGTTTCTACGCAAAAACAAGCAATTCAGCCAGCGGGCAAAAAGGCAGATATTTCAGTGCACAAAACACAAAATTTACTTTTGGTCCCACTCGGCAAAAAGACGCTGAAGGTACAGAAACTGACTTCACTATTCTGTTAAGTTTGAAAAGTAAGCAAACGGCCACTACTTAAAGCTTAGTCGCACTTAAACAACTTTTAAATGTTTGATAATTCTAAAAGTATTGCATACAGATTAAGTAAAGGCATAAAAACCGGAACATATAATGTTAGTGTAACCCAATTTATAGGTGATTTTATATATACAAGACAAATCACTATGACCACAACATTTTGCGACGGGTACTGTATTCTCTGCTAATGTACCCTGAACCGCATAATGTTATATATTTACCCTGTATTATATTAAGTAGCTACTGCATATATATGTAATGTATCTAATCATTATTATATGACGCGTATCCCAATATACATTGTTCATATTTCTATGCATATTTTAAACGTACTTCAAGGTATATTTTAAGCAAGTCATATATTGTCAAAGTATTATTCAATGTAACAATATGTGTAACTATAAATTTGTGCGGGTAATTATAATTGTTATCAAGGTTACCGTAGGATATCTTGTAATATGTGTCTTGAACGACGTATAAGACACTGTATTTATAAATATAATCAATGCATACTAAATCGGCGAGGCGCCAATGGGCCCCCATCTTGACATCTGGGGCTGTTCTAGTTAATGGTGGACGTGGGGTTGTACTGATTGACTAGTATGGTAGAGGCACAGTGCCCACGTCCCCTGTTACTTGCACTTGTGAAGAAAGTAATTATATACCCCAGTGCCGAGACTACCTAAGTACAGATCCTAGCCAGTAGCTTCATCAGTTTTCCGGCATCGATCACCGAACTCAAATTTATTCAAATTTAAGAATGATAGGAAAATTACCTCTGTTGCTTACAGCGAATTTTGCTTGAGTACGGTATATGCTCGCCTTTAACAAAAATGATAATCTCACATCTTGATTTCATAGAATTTACCAAACTTTACTTTCATAGAATTTACCAAAATTTAAATTTACCAAACTTTACTTTCCTAGAATTTACCAAACAGTGAAGGTTTGTGGTACTATTACATTCCGCTCTTCCGAAAATGCGCTGTTCAGATCTTAAGTTGAAGGTTCCAGGGACGTATTTTGCCTCTGTAATTCGGCCCTTTAAGATATCCCACACGTAATGAATCGGGTTCAAGTCCACTGAGTAAGCTGGCCAATCCATTCGAATATCTTCTGTTTCCAATCTTTCTGAAACCACAGATGCTCCAAGCGGATAAGCATTGCTATCTGTTAATTGAACATCTGCGCCAACAACATCTCTAAACTGGTATTGGGACAGTCCAATATCCTTCACAGTACCCTTCTCAGTACCCTGGATAAAATTTCCCTGAGTGTAGCCATAGGGACAAGGGGAAAGTATAAAAAGTTTGTTTTTATAATTAATAAAAAATGGATTTATTTTAAATCTAAAATAGCGAAAACATGATTATTTGCGCCATTTAAGTTATTTTTGTAAATGAAAGTATGTAATTATGACTAAGAGTTGAAACTATAAAGGCTGGGTAAGGCTTTCATGGAGATGTTGTATAAAAATGTAACTGTCAAGTATTTGTGGGACGGAAAAGAATGTTTTAAAATCACCTGGAATTGCACATGGTTGGTAAAGGTCAGTTGGCACTTCCTCTAAAGTCCGAATTTTGAATAACCTATAGATCTTTAAAAAACTGATAATAAGTGACAAGAATCAATGTTATGTGAGTACTCACGTTAGGTCTAATATTTTAGTCTTTTAGTACAAACAATGGATAGTACAGTGATGGATGGTAAAAGAACTGGAATTGATATAAGCTTTGGTACTAGCATTGGATACTTTATAAAAAATAGCTCAAACTTCAAAAGCCCCTGAAAATCCATAAAAAAGTCGCCGGCTATTTGAACGGAAGTACAGGGTGTTTATAAAGTCCCGGACCCATTCGTCGCACGGAGAATATCACGTCGATATTCAATTTCACATCAGGTACCGGCAAGCATGTCGGCATCCACATAGGCTATTGCTGTTGTAATTCTGGCTTTTAGGTCATCAATATTCGACACTCTTCTCCTGTAAACGTTGTCCTTTAAAAATACCCGAAGGAAAAAGTCCAGCGGCGTTATATCAGGTGATCTGGGTGGCCAAGGAATTGGTCCTCCTCGCCCAATCCATCTTCCTGTAAAATGGTCATTCAAAGAACTACGAACGATGGTACCCCAATGAGATGGTGCACCATCTTGTTGCAAAAAGACATGTGGCTGAAGCTCTGCTAGTTGTGGAAATACAAAGTTTTCCAACATGTCTAAGTGTACGACTGATGAAACCGTCTTTTTTGTAAAATGAAAGGCCCAATGATTCGGTCGTGCATTAGTCCACACATTAACCTTTGGGGAATCCCTTTGTGCCTCACGGTATTCATGAGGGTTTTCAGATCCCCATATGCGCACATTATGGCGATTAACAATGCCAGAAAGATGAAAGCAGACGATATTTAGAAAAGTACAGATATTTAGACTGGAAAATGAAATTATCTGAAATTAACCACACGCGCAGACGATATTTACAAAAGTAAAGATATTCACACCTGAAAAGGAAAATATGTAAGTTATTCCATCAATAAATGCCATAAGTATGTTTATATCTTCATTATTTTATTAAACACCAAAATGGACTTTATAAACAACCTGTATTTAGAAACAGAATTAACACTGATAAGTAAATACTAAGAACCCGCATGTTCATTGTATTGCTTCTGTTAAACGCACAATAGCAAAACAACGCCGCCATACCAAACCATCTGGAATAGCAATCTTTATGAATCCTAATAACAACGGCCGCGGGACGATTGCAAAATTTATTGATGTTTATTAGAGTCACGCAGCCATAAACAGAACACACTTTCTTGCATTTATAGCTTTAGAATTAATGAATACCCGTGTGCAAAATTAAGACAATTTGCACGTTATGTGTATTTTTGCTTGTTGAGGGGAAATGAGGGGTTTTCGGTTATTTATGTGATCGTACTGCATCACGATATTCCCCGTGTTTCTGGCAAGAGTTGGGTAAATTTTATAAGGCAACGCAGGTGAAATGAGAAGTTATAAAACGAGAAGTTAATTTCATGTTACGTTACACAAAAAAATACAAGAATTTTATGTATAATTTTACTACAATTAATTATTTTATGTGCAAAATTCTTAACGGTATATTTTTATTTATAGATTACGTTTACTGCTGGTATAAAAAGCGACGTTCCAGCTCTTATTGCAGTAGATGATATAAAACTTGTTCCAGGGAACTGTCCTGAAGCAGGTAGGTTGTAAATCAATGTTTGTTGCAAAATGTAATATGGGGATTCAATTTAGTTTAAATAATAATAATAATATATGCGCTACATAGCTTGATTTTGCCACATAGTTGATTGCTATCTACCTACCACGTTGCTTACTTTCCCCAATTATGTAGTTTTTACTTTCACCAAGACACACAGTTTGCTTTCGCTAATTTACTTGGTATATTCTTGTATATTGTTTCATGGTTTTGGCTGATTCTTAAATTCATACAATTTTCTGACTAATTACATTTTCTGTTGAAACCATTATTAACGTTATACCATAACCATTAGGAACCATTAGGAACGTTATGCACGTTAGGAACCATAACTAGTTCCTAACGTTCTGGTAGCGTTTGGATACCATTTTTCTAAATCCATGATGATTTTTATGCACAAATTTCTTCCAGAACAATCTGCAGCTAGCCATTGTTTTCCAAAAATCTCACAACGGAATGCTTTCGACTTTAATGTGAAATGATCACAGTCTGCAGAAGGCATGTCTAGGTAATATGCCAGATGTAAAAGAACCTCCAGCTAAGCTGCTGACTTGCAATTTTTGTCATATTTACCTCATGAATCTGGCGTTGTGCATGTGAATGCGTATGCCATAACGTTTGTTTGGCTTTTCTCTTGAAATGCTTTATGAGCCAAGCATGTATAGCTATCAAGTTTATCGAAGAAACAGGAAAATTGCCCACTGCCTGGAAGGAAAGTTTCAGCACAACTGTACAGCAGTACTTAAATAATATAGTGCTCTCTGGGGTCAAAATTTCCATCACGACTCGAGGAATAATGCCAGAATGTTGTTAGGTTTCTTGTTAATTTGTGAGGCTAATACCTACTTACTTAGGGTAAATATCAGGTGGCCCACTCACTTCTACATAACATAACATAACATAATTGCTAGCCCGACATGTTTTCAGTTACACGACAAAGGCAAGCGGTAAGTTGGAAGAAAATACCTTACATTCCGACCCCCCCTTTAAGGGCTACAGAAGAGGTGGAGATTCAGTTGTCAAATCCCAATGGTGACGAATTATCGTCCAACACACTTCAATTCGCCATTGCAGAGTCATCAGGTTTGTTAAAGCAGGACACATGAAAAATGTGCAGTGTCCTCTTCGGAATCTTAACTCCAGACCTCCAGATTCCAATTACATCAAGAAGGTACATAACAAGGAGGAAGAAAACACCATACATGTATAGTTTCTCAGAATAGATAACAGTTGTGATAGATACGTTTCTCTGTGAATAATTTCTTTTATGCCCCACCGTACCGTCAACATTGGCTTCCGAAAAATCCAATGTCCTGTTTGGAAAAGTGGGACATATTATTACTTTCTTGTTACTCTTGCGGATTCTTTTACTTGCTTAAAATTGTATGCAGGAATTACTTATGATCTCCTATGGCAATACGTGGCAGAAACAGTTGGTGTTGCTAAAGAATCACATATGGAAAAACACTGGGTCTTGTTGACTTCTCTGAGTGAATCCGGCACTCAGGAATCCAGTGTTTGAACCTGCCCTGTATATGCAGTACTGCATGACTATTGCCCGGTCAGTTAAACCTTTGTTGTCTGAAGCTGTGTTGAGCCCTAACAAAAGACCATATCGATTATGCTCCTTCTTTTCAGGCCCACCAGCGGCCGAGCGGTAAAGTCGCTGAACACTGGTAGTTCGGTCCGAGGTTCGAATCCCGCGAACGGGCTGGCTGCATGGGCGTTTTCGTGGTTTTCCCCATGTGTAACGTGTATACGAGCCAGTTTACCTTAGAAAGTCCTCCACGAAAGGTATCCCTCCCCTTTGGCAGATAGCCCTAGTGTGCTTTGCCGTAATTAAATACACCAAAACACCTTCTTTTCAGTTTAATGCCCTATACTTCAGATCTTCGCAGAGGAACTGGTTAAACGAAAGAAAAAGTACGAAAGTAACGAAACGAACGAAAGTACGAACGAAAGAAGAAAAGTAGCGAAAGTACATTCATATTGACATGGATACTATATATAATTAGGTACAATTTCCCGGCGTATTAAACTTCGTTACCATTATAAATAAACATCCAGGGAAAAAATTCTAAAGACAGAAGTCATCAAGTTATGCAACAATTTAATATTTCTTACTTTGCTACTAATATTATTAAAACACTAAAATTTTCAATTAATTAATTACCGATACCATTAACATGGATTAAAGTGATATGGGTTTATTCAATTTTTCTTCCTTTGTTTTTCAATTTAACGATGTTTAAGTTGCTTGCAACATTATTTTTATTCATCATACTGATGAAGCAGAAAGTTGTTTCATTTCTGAAGGCAAAATAATATTTTTATATAAATAATATCAAATTTAAGCTCTCTTTTTGCTTTTGTGAATTCCTTTCGTGGCTATGTAATCTATTTAAATTAATGTTTAATATTTCTAATAATCACACTGATGGAAAAAGAAATTTCAGCACCAAGAAAGAGTTTTGCTAGATAAATGAAATTTGGAAGAGGCATTTATACATCTGAAGACATCTATTGAAATTTAGCTTAAGTGTGGCGCTAGCAGCGACACTATGAACATGCAAATCATGTTTGCTTTAAATGCATACTGTAAAGTTCATCAGCGTTATTGATTTATCTCTTCAAACTTACATTTATTATCGTTCTAAGAGCTTTTATTATGTTTTCAATTGTTATTTTCTGTTACAGTTGCTTAACTTCACTTGGACCAATCACGTAGTTTACGTTAGATAACATGACTCAATGCTCTCTTATTTGAACTGCTGTTGCCATTGATGATGCTTGCTTCTCGACTGTTCCTACTACTAAGATTATTGCCTCTAATTATTGCTATTTACTGAGTGTACTCATGTCATCGATCTCGCCCTCGGGTGTGGTGTATTTTTTAATACACGTTTTATCATAAATATTATTTACTAATGGCCTATGGCAGCAGTCCTCAAACTTTTGACTAACGCGTACCATCTAAACAAAAATTCATATCTTGAACAAAACTCAGATCACATAAATTTACGATTCTTAGAGAAAAAACTCAATAAGGATGTTGGGGTTTTAATTTTCGAATTTATTAGTTAAAAATACTTTGCTTCTTTTCATACCACCTATTTTTCTCTTGCGTACCACCGGTTGAGAACCCCTGACCTGTAGTATAATAACTAACTAACTGGTAAGAACTCTTTGTAGTTCACGCCAGACGCAGAGATATGATCCTAGATCCTAGATCAGCGTTATTAGTCGTTGAGATTTGATGTAATAACTTGATGTTAGTCAAGAATGCTTTTAAGAAGACAAAGAAGCCATTATCAACAGTTCAATGCGTTTGAACGAGGTCGTGTAATAGAGCTCCGAGTAGAGGGATTTCCTTTTCGCGATAATGCAGGAATGTATCCACTGCGCATGACTTTTGGCAGCGGTGGTTAAGGATAGGTACTGGCTCAAGGAGACGGGGTTACGAGCAGCCATGTGGCACTACATAGAAGGAAGACCGCCGTGTTCGGAGTATGACTGTAACGCGTCGTACTGCGTCTGCAGCAGAAATCCGAGCAGCAGTTGTCACAACACTGACACAATGAACTGTTACAGATCGGTTACTTGAAAGACAGCTCCCAGCCAGACGTCCTATAGCGTGCATTTCACTGACTCCAAACGATTGCCGTTTGCGACATCAATGGTGCCAAGCTAGAGCTCACTGGAGAAAGGAGAGGAGATCTGCTGTATTTTCTGATGAAAGCCGGTTCTGTCCTGGTGACAGTGATGGCCCTGTGATGTTTAGAAGGAGTGCCTGCGACTAGTCTGTCTGTGGCCTAGACACACTGCACCTACACCTGGAGTTATGCTCTGGAAATCAATTTCACATGACAGGAGGAACATTCTCGTGATTATTCCATGCACCCGGATGGCTAATTTGTAAGTCAATCTGATGATTCAACCTGTTCTGCTGCCATTTACGAACATCATTCAAGGGGGTGTTTTCCAACAGGATAACGCTCACCGTCATACCGCTGTTGGAACCCAACATACTCGCTTGCCGTCATACCGCTTTTGTAACCCAATAGGCTCCACAGAGTATCGACATGATGCCTAGGTCTGCTAGATCAACAGATCTTTCTTCAATCGAACACGTATGGGACCAGCGTCATTCACAACTATCATTAACCGTCCGTGTATTGACCAACCAATGGCTTGGAACTGTGTCCCACAAACTAACATCCGTCACCTGTACTACACTATGCATGCACGTTTGCATGCTTGCATTCAATATACTGGCCCTTTACGACGGTTATTAATGTACTAGCATTTCCCATTTGAAATGGCTCTTCTCGCTCTTGCATTAATCTGTGATCTTGAAAATTTAATCAAATAAATATATTGCCTAGATATACGTCTTGACAAAATTTCATTACTCTGCATTAATTTTTTCTTGCTGTTGGGAGTTTTTTTTTTTTCCATCAGTACATATCCGTTAAGAAACCACTCTGCCTCTTAATCGCAAATAATTTAAAATATGTTTCAACCCCTACTAGCATACTTGAAGCATATTTTTAAGCACACCTCAAGCAAAAATAGTTTCTATTCATGTTAATATCATATTTGAAAGCTTCTTTTTCATTTCAGGTTCTTGTGATTTCGAAGAAGGCAAGTGCACTTGGGTCGACGGTGCGGGCGATTATAATTGGGTTAGAAAAAGTGGAAAGTCATACGTAAATAAAGAGACAGGTCCAGACGCTGACAAGACATTAGAAACAGGAGATGGTAAAGCAATTTACATAACTTTTATCTAAAATGAAGTTTACCTTACGAATGAATTTGAAGTTATATATATAATAGTCCACAGTCTATAAGGGACAAAATGTTTTTCGTAAACTTTATTCTAAGTATATTCAATAAGTGAACATCCGATATATTTAACTTTTAGAATAGTATTGTCTGCAATTGGCTTCAGTTTAAGATAATTTATACTTATAAATTTCTTCGTTCAATCTCTAGGAAACTATGTTGTTGTTAGCACCAAAGGTAAGACGCCAGGTGGAGTAGCTAATCTAGAAAGTGAGTTTTTCCCTCCTGGGGGTAAAGGTTTATGTCTCAACTTCTATTACTACATGAAAGGACAGAACGTTGGAAAGCTAGCAGTATGTATCATAACTTTTTAAGAATGTTCTTAATTTTCTAGATTTCTTATTTATTTTGTACTTGTTGTCCTAGTTTGGAACACTTTTCTTATTAAAATAACTGATGTGGACATCACATGGCTTCCTTCTACGGCCTGTGAAATTATATACATTTTTCGCTGCTCTTCATTTAAACGTATTTGCTCAAATTTCATTAGAAGTTAATTTTATTAGTATGTTTCTCATTCAATTAATTCAATTTTTACATCGCGGCAAGGCAAAAATACATAAAAATTCTAAACAGCTTCATTCAAAACTGTGAAAGGCAGAAAAACATGCAACACGAAATATACTCGCAGTTAAAAACAGTTCAAAATATTTTTTGCAACTAAAATTAGTTTCTACACAAAAACAAGCAGCTGGGCCAGTGGGCAGAAAGACAAAATTTTTGGTGAAAAAATTAAAAGTTAACTTTTAGTCCCACTGAGGAAAAAGGCACTGAAGTTGGTTCACCAACTGAATTTATTCTTTTACTAAGGGTTTCAAATGTAGAGGAATGGCGGCCACGTTAGGCTTAGCACCGCTTAAAATTTCAAATTGTTAATATTTTGCAAATATTGTATCCAGATTAAGGGCATGAAAACTTAACTGGAATATAAGAAAAACATAATTCAATCACTTTTCAGTCAAAAAATACATAATTTAGCTACGTAGAAGAGTATAAAAACGGAGTTCACTGAGCCGGGTAGTGGAAATGATACAAACATATGTTACCGTGAAAGACTGAAATTGGAGAATGTCGACTTTCACCGGAGAATGTCAACATTCACCAAATACGTCGATGAAAGATCGAATATTGCGTTACATTCTTGTACATTCGGACCCTCACCGGTGCATGTCGACAATCACAGATATGCTCTGGTGTAGGTCGAAAAGAGAGGAGTATAAGTACACGCTGACATTTGCAAAAAGAAGTATTCCACAAATAAATGCAGTTGTAAAAGCAAGGGCCTCTTGTGCAATTCAAAGTGTCCTAATAGTTTAAGAGTTGCAATAAATAAGATTTGAATCACATAATTTTGTAAGTTTTTAACTTCTATTATTTTCCTTTCTCATTTTGAATGTACTGTGTATTTTAAGTTTTTATATTCTTAAGTTCTTATTTTAAGTTTCAAATGCGTTTTTTCGCCACTGAATAACGGAGAAGAAAATATGATATTCTTATACGTTCCACATTCACCATTAGTACAGGGTGAATGTCGACATTTACCGGTGAAGTCAGAAATAAGGGTATTTGGAAAATATTTCGGACAAACACAAAGCGACTATGTGAATGTTGACATTCACCGGTTAAAGTCGACATTCTCCATATTTCGGTGTTTCACCGTAACATATATATAAGTTTGGCGCGGCAGATTGCAATGAAAAGGGAGGTGCACAAGAAGATGTTAAAGCAGTCCCATATACAAAATTTCAACGTTCTACGCCTACTCGTTTTTGAGTTACAAAGAAATACGTAAGCGAATCACGAAAAAATCTCTTCTGAGTCCGTTTTAAATCCATTTTACAATCCGTTTTGGAAACAAGAGTCCTTTATTCTGTCCGTACATACAAATATGAAGACTTGGCCGCACAAAAAACTGTTTAAATTGCTGATAATTCTACAACTACTGCAGATTAACTAAACGCATAAAAACCTTAAACGGAATTCAATCACTATTAAAGCAAAAAAATGCACAATTTATCAACATATAAGATTAAAAAAAATGAACTCAACCAGGCGGGTAACAGCGTGGGTACATATTTATACACGTCTGGTGCGGCTAATTGGAACCGAAAGGGGAGGTGCACAACCACATGCCACAGCAGTCCCCATACAAAATTTTAACGTGCTGAGGCTACTTGTTTTTGAGTTATGCGAAATACATATATATGTACAGAAATGTCTCTTTTGAATCCATTTTACAATCCCTTTTGCAAAAAATCTGATGTGTACACCACATGACTTCCTTGTACGGAATATTAAATTATATGCATTTTTTCTTGCATCTCGTTTAAACTTATTGGATTGAATTATCATAAATCTAGAACGATGTATAAAAGAAATTAAGCAAACAAAACAAAAAAGACACAGTTTTTTTTCACAGACGATTTGGTATTTCTCATTCAATTAATTCAGTTCTCACTTGGCGACAAGGCAAAAATACATAAAAACTCAAAATATCTGTATTAAAAATTACGAAGTAAATCTTAAACACTTATTGCCTCGAAAAAATTCGAGAAAGGATTAAACATTATTTAATTCGCAATAATAAATGAAAGTGTTATCTTTGTTGTTGCGAAGCTACGTTTCTCTAGATTGGCAACAAATCCACTACTCTGCTGTTTCAAATGTAAACAAGCAGTGGCCGCATTAAAAAAATGATTAGGCTTAGCGGCACTTAAACAACTTTAAAATTGTTGATAATTCCAAAAATATTGCATACAGATTTACTAAAGGCACAAAAACCTCAACCGGAAGATAAGAACAACATAATTCAATCCTTTTTAAAGCAAAAAATGTACAATTTACAAACATATAAGAGTAAGGAAGCTGAGATCACTGAGCCGGTTAACAGAGTGGATATATATATATATATATATAAATATACTTATATACGTTTGGTGCGGCCGATGGCGACCAAAATACGAGGTGCACATCTACATGTTATAGCAGTCCTATATACAAAATTTCAACGTTCTGAGGCTACTCGGGTTTGAGTTATGCGAGATACGTACGTGCATACGTTCGTACAGACGCCACGAAAAATTCTCTTCAGAATTCATTTTAAAGCAATTTTATAATTTTTTTGGAGGAAGAGAGTCTTTTATTCTGTCCTTACGTACACATATAACGCAAATACATTGTTAAATTTGCATTCGAAAACGGTCAAAATGGATATTTTCGTTGAAATATGCTGCCTGAAACTTTTCGCGATTACAATACTTCCTTTTTACTTCGTACAAGGAAGTAAAAAGAGTCCTTTTTCTGTCTGTACGTACAGATGTCACGCCCCCCCCGCAAAAAATCAATCTGATTCGAGAATGGTCATAATGGATGTTTGCGTTAAAATATGATATCCGAAAATTTTAGCAATTACAATACTTCTTTTAGTTCGTACAAGGAAGTAAAAAGAACGTGACAATACATTCTGAAACCTAGTTTTAACAACAGTTGGTATCTAACCGCTGAATATGGGTTATTTTTTCACATTTTCATAAGTATTTGTAAAAACAGCATAAGCCTGAGGTAGGAATTTTGTATGTATCGTATTGCTTTTTGTTATAATGAAAGTCGTAATAAACATGTAATATGTTATGACTGTACCGAAAATATATTACAATTTTTTACTTTGTTTCAGGTCGTCCGAAAGGAGGAAAATATAACGGAATCGACAATATGGTTGCTTAAGACACCAACGGGACAACAGTGGAATAAAGGAGCTGTGCTCTTAAAACCAAGCATATTGAACAATCAGGCATGTATCTTTTTGTTTCACTAAATAGCCTACTTCAAGCTGAAAAACCTTTTGCTAAGAATTTTGTTTTAAGAATATCTTGCATAAGGGAGAAAGATAAATACAAAAAATCTGACGTATACCCCACATGATTTCCTTGTACGGAATACTAAATTATACGCATTTTTTTCCTGCCTTTCATTTAAACTTATTTCCTCGAATTTCATTAGAGATATATTTCTCATTTAATTAATTCAGTTCTCACTTCGCAACAAGGCAAAAATACATTAAAAACTCAAAATATCTATATTAAAAATTGAAAGATGTAGAAAAACACAAAACGCCAAACACAGTTAAAACAGTTAACAATTTTTTTTACTATTAAAATGACAGTTTCTACGCAAAAACAAGTAATTCAGCCAGCAGGCAAGAAGGCAGATTTCTCGTTGCACAAAACTGAAAGTTTATTTTTGGTTCCACTGGGGAAAAAAGGCACTGAAGGTGCAGAAAGAATTAATTCACTATGCTGCTAAGTTTCAAATGTAAAAAAAAAAAAAAAAAAAAAATGTGGCTGCTATTGTAGAGATATTAGGAAATTTTTTGGAGGCCGGAGAGATGAACAATTAACAACGCCTTCGCAGGGAATCGAACCGCGAACCTCTGGAATACCGGCCCAGCGTGCAGACCACTACACCACGAAGGCACGTTAAGAAGGCGGGAGAAATACCTTATACTATGGTAAAAAAAAATTAGGCTTCGCCGCACTTAAGTAACTTTTAAATTGTTGATAATTCTATAAATATTGCATACAGATTAACTAAAGACATAAAAATCTTAACCGGAAGATAGGAACGACATAATTCAATAATTTTTAAAGGAAAAAATGCACAATTTATAAACATATGAAAATAAAGAAACTGAGCTCACTGAGCGGAATAACAGACTGGATATATATATATATATATATATGTGATGTACCAGCTTTAGTGGTAGCTTAAATTATCAGACGATATGTTTAAAAAAAACAGGATCCATTTATTATTATTCAGGAGAAATAGCAGTTACAAAATCAGATATCCGGAGTAAATAAAAGGAATTACTAATAACTTTTTGTATGAAGTTTACTGCATCGTGACATTTAAGAAAAGCCCCGATATTCTTTTGCGAGTCTTTTTATAGCCTCTGGAAAGGCGGAGCTTCAAAGAAATGACGTCAGCCTCGTCAGCCAATCCAGTTGGCTTTAAATATTTCCAGAACATTCTATAACTGTACGTGTCGAAAAGGCGGGAAAAACAACTTAACTACGGGTCTGTGGATTTAATTCCATGTACTCTCAAATAAGAGAACGTCGCCATTAAAAATGAAAAAAACATATATTTATACACTTTTGCTGAGGCTGATTGCAACCAAAATAGGAGGTGCACATCTAACTGTTATAGCAATTGTATGTACAAAATTTAAACGTTCTGTACTTGTTTTTGAATTATGCGAGATACGTTGTAATATTTCATTATTTAACAAATAACTCTTTTTATTATTGGAGTGGCAACGCCATATTTGTATGATGTAACCGTTGCTTGTTAAATTGTTTAAAATATGATTCAAAAACTTTTACCAGTCTTGGATGTATGAAAGGTTTGTAACTAAAAGACTGTATTCAAAATATATATCTCCGTAAACTAAAAATAAAAATTATTTTTTACTAAGAAGATCGTATGTTATCTTGTTAAATACTGCAAAATATGTTACAACGTACGTACGTATGTACGTACAGATGCCACGAAAAGTTATCTTCTGAATCCATTTTAAATCAGTTTTGTTATTCGTAAGGTGAAAAATGAGCGTTTTATTCTGTCCTTACATACAGATATCACGCAAAAACATCGTTAAATTACGTTCAGTAGCTATCAAAATGGATATTTTCGTTGATATATGGCAGGGGTGCCCAACGTTTTTGTATATAAGATCTACTTTTTGTTTTTAAAAGTGTTTCGCGATCGACTTGTTGTCTTAGGTGTAGTCTAAGAGGGAGAAGGTTATTAAATACATACAAAGTTTATACACCGTGTTTCAGTATAAGCTGCATTCCAACAAGTTATGGGTAGATAAGTAAAATATATGTTTAAAACTATTTTTTATTTTTTAAATCATTTATTAAGTTTTCGAGATATAGACTCCTGAAGAAAATAAATTTCCAGACCCAACTTTTAATAGCACCACTCCGTACATGCGATACCTAAAAAAATCGATTTTTCCTACACTTTTTCAAGATAGATTTTTACTAACTTAAAATCCAATTTAATTTTTTATCTTCTGACATGTAAAAGTTGTTGTACTATTAGTTCGTTAATATGAAAAGTTGTTATAAAAATGCAGAGTATGGCTGATAATTTGGTTTCAGTATTTCACTTTCGCTTTTTGTTGGGGGGGGCGGAGATTATATGAAAACAACTGGCTTACTTTGCTATTAGCAAAGCTCGTGGGCTCCCGTATAAAATGATATAAGTTATACCTACTAAAAAAAAAAAAAAAAAAAAAAAAAAAAAAAAAAAATCTGAAATGTTTCAGATTTTAAATTACGTCCAAAGGGGCGTTTTTTTAACATTTTGTGTGTTACCTTTCTTTATTAAATATCATGTTCCTCGCACTTAAACCATAAGATCCAGTGCAACAGCAATATCGCAAAATAGTTTTAAAACGAGCATATCTTTAGAATTTCCGATACAGAGACTCACGCGCTGGAGATAAAAATGTTTTTTCTGCACAACGTTGCCATTGCTCGCTTTGAAATCCTTGAGTTTGTTAATCAAAAATTCGTCAAAGTTTTAAAAAATAGGAAATCGATCATAAAACAAATTTCAAATTTCAAATTTGGTCTTCCACATGCTCATATTCGTTGGAGGATTACGTTATTCAAAATTCGATGACTCTATGTACCGTTGTTTTATGACAATGCGAGAAATATACATACATTTACGCAGATTTTCATTATTTAATTTCTTCAAATATAATGCAGGACTCTAACATTTTGTGGCAACAGTTTGAAAAGTGAACCGACATTTATGAGTCCGACGCAAAATGCCAAAACGAAACTAATAGTCCTTCGGGATTCAAATCCCTTTGGACTAAAAAATATTTAAAGATCCCAAAAAGTCATGTCAAAGGAAAAAAGAACATGGATAATTATTAACAATAGTTATTAATTCAAAGAAGCTACAGATAAAAACAGATTTAGAATTCACTTCGTTGCCTTAACATCAATGGGAAGATAGAGTTTGCATGTTCCTAACAAAGGAAGTATATTCTATCTTAACAAAGTTAATAATAATGAGTCTTTAGTACCGGGAAGCGTAATGGCAAACCCACATTGAATTCATCAATGTTAAACGAATTTTGCTTACTGCGCATGCTCAGAATAGAATTTAGCCCAATTACAACTTTGGCGCAATTTTAAAAGAAGATAAATACGATATGTTGTTGATATTGTGTTATCTGGGTGTAAACAGTTCGGGGTTTTAAAATTTGTTAGGTTGTAAGTTGCTTCATTACATACAGTGTAAATATCGATTGTAAACTACGCAAACTTTCATTTAATAAGGATTAGAAAACAGGAAATGTTACAAGATATTTTAGCTGAATGTTTATTGATTATACTTCTGAGGAATAAAAGCAATTGCGTATTTACCATCCCAAGTAGCACGTGGCGTAGCAAAGACGTTACAACGACCATTTTGCAACCTCTGGGACCAGTTTGCAACGTCTTTGCTACGTCATGTGCTACTTGGAATACGTTCCATTCGTATATACTTTTACAAATTAAGGAATAAATTCTGTTTAAATTACTGAATTGAAGTCAAATAACTGATATTAAATGCAATGTTTATGAACAAAATAAACCAGAAGTAAATGAAACGGAAGCACATGCAATATGCATTCTTTAACATTGATCAACTGTCTTCGTTAGTTTCAAGTATGAAAATACTGATTCGCATAGGTAGGTAGATTCGAAACAAGAATAGATATAGTCACTACATTTACATTTGGCGATACTGGGATAATCACCGAGGATAAATAATATTGATTAGTAATAATACTGTTAATACAAAAGAAAAGAAGCTACCGTATGACACTACCAAATGTTCAAGCAAACTGTGTTCTTCGATGAGTCGAGCCCTAACAGTTGCGTTCACGTATTGCGTCCGCTGAAAGTGTAAAACCTAAGTCAAAATGTATTGTCCAGGATGGGCGGAAATCACAGTGTCAGGCTATCAGAATTCTAGGAATTTATGACCTCGGCAAATTCCCAGAATGCATTATTACTATTGTAGGGACATTAAGATTTTTTGGAAGCAGACAAGATGAGAAATTAGCAACGGCCTTCGCCGGAAATCGAACCACGGACCTCTGGACACCGGCCCAGGGTGCAGAAACTACACCAGGAAGGCACGCTACGAAGGCGGGAGAAATACCTTATACTATTGCTAAAAGTTTTTTATCTTCTGCAATCACTTGAAAGTCCATTCTATACGGAATTCCGATGCGAGCGATCGACGATCGACCAAAATTGGCCTAGCGATCGACCGGTCGATCACGATCGACTTGTTGGCCACCCCTGATATATGGTACCCAGGATTTTTCGTGATTACAATACTTCTTTTATATTGTACAAGGAAGTAAAAAGGCTTTATTTTGTTAGAAGTATAAAGAAGAATAAGGGTTATCAAATGGAACATTTAAAACACAAATATTTTAGATAAAATGCAGGCAGTTTATAAAGTCCCGGACCCATTTTGAGGTTTAATGACTCATAAAATAATAGAGATAGATTAAAATTAATAACATAAATGGTTAGATAGACTCAAAAAGTTTCATGACCCCTGTCAATGAACTTCCACGTGTGCCCCCTTCGTCGCACGGAGAACATGAAGTCGATATTCAATTTCACGCCAGGTACCGGTAAGCATGTCGGCATCCACAGAGGCTATTGGATCATATCTTTACTGCTGGCTTTAGCTACTAGGAGCTCTTACCAATATATTATCATTTTACCATAGGCCATAAAGTTAAAAATTTAAAGAGGTGTATTTAAAAATACACCGCGCCCAAAGGCGAGATCAATAAATAAGAGAACTCATAAAATAAGTTTTGCTAAATTGCATATCATGGCATAGCATGGGTGATTATATACGTAAAATGGTGGCGAGAGGAGCGAAATGAAAGTCTAAGCTTCTGGCGTGGGAGTCTAGAAGAGCAGAAAGACGTGATCAGCGTCCGGCATTTAGATTGGTTCGAGAAGTCAGAGTTCGAAAAATGAAGTTTTTTGTAGTTTTTGGCAAGTAAATAAAGTTCGAACATAGTAAAAGCAACATCTATTTGTGAATTTAAGAGTTCTATGTCTTTTGAAACACTTGAAAATCTTCTAAACTTGCGATATAATCATTAAATGAATAGGAAACTGTAAAAGGCGAAAATGAGGTCATGTAGCTCACTAGGGCTAATGAGTGAGAGTAAGCACTTGGTGTTACCCACGAACTTTGATTTTAAAACACACGATACGAAATATTAAAAATAAAAAGTAAAAGTAAAAATCTTGGTTAAATAAGTAGTAAGACGAAGAATTCATCGATGAAAAATAAAGTCCTAATTTTGCAAAGTTCATCTTTCTTGAATAGTAACTGCAAAGGAATAGTAATTTTTTTTTTTTTTTTTTTTTTTACACATTATATACACTACCACCACTTAGAAGAGGCTATTGCGGTTTTAATTCTGGCTTTTAGGTCATCCAGGCTATTGCGGTTGTAATTCTGGCTTTTAGCTCATCCATGTTCGACACTCTCCTCCTGTAAACGTTGTCCTTTACAAATCCCCAAAGTCCATAACATTGCAATAGTTGCCAAAAGCAAAAGAGAGAAAAATGCAATTAATAAGCAGACGATATTTAGAAAAGAACAGATATTTAGACTGGAAAATGAAATTATCTGAAATTAACCACACGCGCAGACGATATTTACAAAAGTAAAAGATATTCAAACTGAAAAGGAAAATATATAAGTATATATAAGTTATTATTAAATATATTAGTCAATAAATGTCATAAGTTTGTTTATATCTTCATTATTTCGTGAGTTATTAAACATCAAAATGCGTCCGGGACTTTATAAACATCCTGTATTTCTGTTAATACAATGCAAATCGTCTAAAAATGTACGAACAATGTCTGTATTCTAACATTCGTTATTGCTGCTTTAATATAATTTATCTTTTGGCAACAGGTTATTTTCCGAGCTACTATTGGAGCAGAAAAGGACGGATTTTTTGCTATCGATGACATCAAAGTAAGAGCTGGAGAGAAATGCGACCTAACTCCTGCCATAGCAGATCCTCGATATGAAGGTACGCAGCTGTATATATATAAGATAAAAATAGATAAAGCAGCTTTATAATTGAAGTTAGCAGTAGCTCTTAAAATTCCTCATTTTTAATTTGGGTATTTCCTCTCTGTATTCTTAAAAGTGGTAACAACTTTTCTAGACTACTCCATTTCTACATCAATCTATTTCACATGGCTTGAGTAATGCTGATGACGTAACTTGAGCAGAAGCATAAAATATAACAGCATAGTTTGGCAACGACGTGTTAATGGATTATGTAAATTAATTTCCTCAATAATTACTGAGAAACATTTTAAGGGAAAAAAAGAGAAAAGGAGGAAAGAAAAAGGAAATTTAAGAGATTTTATATTACGTCCTACGTCCAAAAGGGCGATTTTTTTTCATTTGCACACACATACACGTTTCGAAAGCATTTAAGCTAAAAATATTTAAAAACAGCATATCTTTAGAATTTCCGATGAACAATGTCCCGCATTGGAGATAAAAAAAAATGTGTTTTATTCCCTACAGTGTTGCCACTGCTCGCTTTGAAACTGTTCCTTTGTTAAAAATTCTTTAAAGTTTTACAAAAGGTAAAACCGATAATTAAACCAATTCGAAGTTCCATATCGGACTTCTAGGTGCTCATATTCGGGTAGAAGACTACGTTATTCAAAATTTGCTGGCTGTAGGTACTGTTGTTTTTTCACAATGCAATTTTTTTAATATATATTCATCCAGAATCTTCATTATTTAATTTTTTTAAATATAATACAGGGCGATAATGTTAGGTGGCAACAATTCGAAAAGTGTTTCAACGCAAAATGCTGTTTCGAGACTAATAGCCCTTGTGGGCTAACACCCCCATTGGGCTAAAAATTCGATTTTTCTCCGTTATGAATGAACTTGCTTGGTATTTAATCTGACAAAATACTGAAAATGGTGTGGTTCGAATGAATTGCCACCATCAGATAAGCAGAGCAAATGACCATGAAAAGTAATTAATTCAGTTTAACGTTCTGGTCCATCTTTACAGGTTATGCAAGTAGCTAATCCTTAATTTTAATTACTAATCCTTCATTCATTTAAATTTGAGTTTCTGGCACTCAGCAAAAATGGATTAATTACCAAACAGACGTTTTCATGGAAACAAGAAATGATATAACTCTGGACACTGATTTTTTTATGTTTTTAGGCCAAAGAGGCGGTAGCCCAGAAAGGCTTAAGTTTCTAAACCGTATTTTGTGGCGTTTCACAATAAACGGCGAATCACTTTTTAAATTGTTGCCACCAAATATTATCGCCCTCTATTATATTTAAAGAAATTAAATTATGAAGAATCATTCTGAAGGTATGTATGTTTCTCGCATTGTGAAAACACAACGGTACCTAGAACGATCAAATTTTGAATAACGTAGTCCTCCACCCGACTACAACAAAACAAACTTCCCATTTGTTTTGTTTGCTATTTCATATTTTGTTAAACTTTAACGAAATTTTGAATAGCAAACTCAACGATTTGAAAGCGAGCAGTGGCAACCACTGTACCGAAAAAAATATTTTTATCTCCAGCGCGTGATGCTGTCTATCTGAAATTCTAAAGATATAATGCATTTAAATATTTTTAACCCAAAGGGACATTAGCCCAAATGCTCTCGAAACAAAAGCACCCCTATATAATCTAAAAGATTTCAAATTTTTTTGAAAATAATGCTGAAATTTATAGAATAATTTTAAGCAATTCAGTAATAACATTAGCCTGTTGATTATCAATAATATTTATTATTGATGAAATTTATAGTTTAATAAGAGATGCTAAAAGATTCGCGTCAAAGTTTGAATCTTAATTCCTTGTTAAATTTCATCTCTATTGGTCTTAAGTTCTATAAAATTCGCATATTTCAATGGCAACTTATGAATCCCTAACTTCTGAAGAATAATTAATTTACGTGTGAACACTAATTAAAACTCTGTATATAAAATAGTATAACACAATTATTTTGTGTATATTATATATCGATATATGTAAAATATTGTTGCTTTCTACGGGTTCCTTGAGTAATTGATGACAACACTTGATGAAGAATCGAGACACAATTTATTCGCCAGTAGGCGCTATCACACAGGACAGTTCCTAAGATAGGTTTACGCTCATTGAAAAACTACGACAAACACGCTCATTGAAAACTGCGACCGCTAAAACGGTCGTCAGGCTGTAACGGAGAAAACAGCTTCACGGCAAAGCACTAAAATACAGCTCCTAACTCAGTCGATCACTCTAGCTAATCTCCGGATTCAAGATTGTGCTTTTTCCCAGGACAGGCAGCGTATATATAGTTTTAACCTACCTTCCAGAATATTCTCGCAGAAATTCCCTAAGAATGCGTTCCGGAATGTTCTCGCTCCCTCTGTGACTTATCGTTAGCTTTGTTGCCAAATATTTCCAAATGGGCGATTTCGCGTCAAATCTGGCTACTCTGACTTATCAATGCCATATTCTGGTAACCGTAAGCCCGTCTGCTTTGCGGGGAAGCTATATCACCGCGTAGGCGCTGGGCATTTTGCAACGATATAATAAACGTAGCGCATAGTGTACACGTGGAATTATTTCTTACGTGTTTCCTCTTTCAAACTTTTTAATAGAATGCAAAACCATAGAATATTAAGCAAGAAAGAAAAATTTATGCTGTGAAATGTAGGGTATCTGAGGGATAAAACATGTATCAAAAAGCTGAAAATAAAATTTGAAATAAATATTGTTATTTGTATAAAAACTGTCTTTGAATGATATTTACCTAGAATTTCGGGGAAATAAGATGTCTTTTTTATATTTCTTAAGGCTTTAATTTAGCCTTCAGTAGTCATAAACATACATTCAATTTGAAGTGCTTAAATCGCAATTATTTTTAAGAAAACTGTTTCTCATCTCTTTTATTCTTAGCTATGGAGCTTCTGAGTTGCACTTTCGACAACTTAAACCTATGCAGTTGGAAACAAGATCCTGAAACTCTTGCATGGAAATTTGGAAATGCCTCAATGTTTGTCAGTACTGGACCGAAGGAGCCACTGAATGGAAAAGGTACATTTTGTTAATATGTATAATACTTTGTAAATAATTATACAATTTGGAATACTTTTTAATTGTATTTCTGCTTTTCCCTTCTTGTTGTGTTCGTATAGTTTTGCTCATTTATTTTATTTATTTATTACCTTTAGACTGATAATCTTTCGGTTCCTTTTATAATTCGTCTTATTTGTCATTACGTATCTTGTATTTAAGCGTTTAATTGTTACATAGAATTGAAACTTTTATTCTCAGCAGAGTGAAGTTGGAATTGTAAAAATAGTTTAGTTAGAATTCTAGATATGGGCAGTTTCATTGCTCATGGGCCTTTAGCAGCAATTTTTGAAGCCAAATTGGTAATATTAAGCGATTTTCTGGAAGGTTTACGAAAACAGCTGTCACCAATCGAAGATGTCTGGTCAATGATTGGAGAAAGCCTGTCCCGGCATGCCGTGCACCCAGATACTTTAGCTACGCGTGTGGTCAGGCAAACTTTGGCTATATGTGACGGCAGCATGGTCTGCCATTCCCTAGCAACACATTCAAAGCCTCTTTTACTCAATGCTGTGACATCTAGCAGCCGTTACTGACAAACGTGGAGGTAACACTCACTATTGACTTTTTTGTCTTCCTCACCACAGAGAAGGGTGTATTTCAAATGAATTAACATTGATACTGTGTGTAATCTGTGAAATAAATTGGGTTTTGATGTTTCTTGTCTTTCTTCATGTTGCCTTTTTAATGGCAAGTAGCGTAATTGCCTTATATATTTTTTAATTAAATCGAAATATCAAATATGCGAAAAGGTCACTATTAACTATAGAATTTGATAAAAGCAAAATCGGCTTATTTGTCTAAGCTGATATACACGCACAAAAAGTATTTTTGTTTCTTTGTGGCATTCCTCTCTTTCGTTTTTGATAAGCACAAATTGCTGCACATTTACTCTTGCCAGACTTGTTTTGATTGCATTCACTGCTAATACCATCATTCAGGAAATGCGGATATGTAATCTGTACATTAAAAATTTGTTTGCGATATCATTCATGAGGACGATGGATTTAATAGCCTGATAGTTTACTATACTTGTACGGAGAACTACTTGTTATCTGCGGTTTTTTTCTCTGGTTTCCATATTTTGCATGTTAAACTGAATCTTTTATCCTCATTGGTTTTAAGATAAATTTTGAGCATGCAAAACTCAGATAGAACTATTTATTCTTTTTCATTTCATATAATAATAATTTGTCAAAATATATGTACACGTCTAATGGAGGAAAAATGGAAAAATTTAAATTTTTATTAAAAATTGCCAATTTGGAGTCCAGCTGGTATGAATACAACCAGATGGCATCCCAACCTATAGAGGTTACCCAAGGGCACCATTCCCCGGTCAAGCCTGGGCGACAGTTATGCACACAGTCAATGTTTTGAAACGCACTTCAAAGCTAATCGGTCGCCATACAAAAATAACGAAGTGCTAAGTCAAAGACGACTGTCCCCCAGTGTTGACCAACGGGAGTTAAACCCCCGAGGACAACCTTTTAACATTTAACCATGTAGTGTCATCACAACCAAAGGGCAGACAAGTCACTAGTACGGTCTCTGCCGAGCCTGAACCTACCTCCGAATAAACGATGGTTCTAAGTCACTATGAAGACTGACCTTCCTAGCTTGTTTGCTCGTGTTCCGTTATGATTTAATATCTTTCTTGAAAAACTTGTTGGTTTCAATAGTCTTCTCGATGGTTCAAAATCAAAATTTCTGTGTCGATACCATCAATTTCGAACACTTTTGCACATCACAAGAATATTTTCAACAACATAAGCTACAGTATGGTTCTAAACGTTAAAAAAATTATCGCTTGCAAGAGCCATGCAAAAATTTTAATTTCTCGCCACCTATTGTCGCTAGTTAACAATAACGTATAACAAAAAGTGGCTAGTTCCGAGTTTGTTCGACTTGATTGAACTCCATTCGGCCGACGCAGATTCTCAAAAGAACTAAAATAAACATTTCGGTTTATAGTTTTAAAATATCAGGGAAAATCATGGTGTAAAGCGTTGTTTTTGAGAAGACTAGTCTAATTTACAGTAATCATTTGAGGCACGAACACACACTTACTTTATCATCATCTAATTTCTTCACAGCTTCATAGTGCTTTGGGATTCTTTAACGTTAAATCAAGCTCCAGAGCCTCCTTTATTGATTTTATTTTTCTCTTCTTCTTTTTAAAACGTAAAATTTTTTTACCCGAAAATATTTTTCTCAAAAATCTAAATATTTTTTTCTATTTTGTATTATTTTCCTTTATTGTTGTTTTTACTGATTCTAACTGGTTAGCCATTAGGATAGACCAGATCCACGAGTCCAAGAACCGTCAATAAATCCCAGACAAATGTAGATCGTTTCAATAGGTACTCTTTTACAAGTCCCAAACAGATAAGAAGGTGTTCAGGAGTGAAATGATCGGTATTACATTTCCTACTGATAAGGTAGATCTTATTTCCCAGGTCAAGTTTAACGCATTTCATGTGTTGACTTAGGAGTCTGGTTAAAGTAATCTGCTGAGAGTAATCTGCTTTAGAAGTAATCTGCTTTAGAGGCCGGTCTAGAAAAGCCATAAGGCAAGCTTGGGCTTGCCAGGAGGGTGCACCGCACGATACCTACCTACCCCCAAAAGCAATAGCACCTCCCGGTTGTCTACCAATGTACCAGTCATGAGCCAGAGGAGAATGACAAGAAAAGGCAACAGTAGGTTTAACTCTCGAGTATACCTCCAAAAAGGTCAGGGTGCCAGTTGTCGGTCTTCCTTAGCTAGGGCATCAGCCATTTCATTACAACTGAAGCCAGTATGTGAAGGGATCCATTGCAGATGTATATCATGACGGAAAGAGAGTTTTGGTAGTGCCTCAAGTCCACTAGTTGTCTCAACGTGGCAAGGGGGTGACAATGGGCTAAATGGGGAAAGTACACCGGGAGTTTCTCCTGATAGGGCCACCGTAGGCGTCAAGGCATTTCCTCTTAGCCCAGCTAAAATTAGTAGGCGAAGTCGGAGTGAAGTCAGCCATCTACCTTTTGGTGCTTCCCGTCTCTTGATGACTACATTTTGCGTTTTAATTTGCAAATATTATTTTCCTTTTCTTCCAGGTCACTATATTTACATTAGTTCTTACGAAGGTAATCAATCGAATTATGAGAAGGTTGCCCGGATACAGTCACCGGTAGTAAGCTCGTTCGCGCCTGATGCTGCCTGTTTCTCTTTCTATTACCACATGTTCGGTGCTCATGTTGGAGAACTGGCGGTTTATATGGTGCCTATGCAAGATCAGAAGACGCCTTTAGGAAAGCAAGTGATATGGAGACGAAAGGGTACACAGCCGGACAAGTGGTTGCAGTTTAGAGATACACTCAACGTCACGGAAGGAGATTACAGAGTAAGTTTTTCTGTAGTGTATAAATAACTAGCTTTTAATTATAACTAGGTTTTTGTAACTGATCGATACATTTAATACGGTTTTTTTGTGAAACGCGGCCAAGCTTATATTAGTTTCTTGCTCTGGAAGATACGATAAGGGTTATTTTCAAGATATACCTTATTTTTTCATGCAAAACAATTAGTATTTATCCACTTCCAGCAATCTACATTTATTTATATGCTCCAGAATCTACATTTTTCATTTATTTACGCACAAAAATGTACATTTGTACAACTACAATCAGTTTCTTTTGCAATAACGGGTACTCTTCTGTTATCGGGACCGGATTCAGAAATGTATATATGTAAGCATGTCTTTATGCATGTAATGTGCGTACATGTGTGTATGTATAAGGTATTTCTGCCGCCATCTTAGCATGCCTTCGTGGTTTACTGGTCAGCACAGTTAGCGCGTATGCGAGAGGTCCGTTGGTTCGAAGGCTAACAGAATAAATTTTTTCACTCATGAAACTCATATCATAAAATTTTAATGATCCTGACGGATTTTTTTGTCCTTCTTTAGGCGTTACATTTCCTCCGGTGGTCAAAATTTGAACTATTTTTAATTGCAGAAATCGTTTCTCCATAGTCCATGTAATATAGTGTTGTACTACAGTACAACAGTACAAAGTCCGTAATCCGGACGTCCATTATTCGGAATGATCTGTAATCCGGACCTCAAAGCCACAAACTTACGCATGCGCGTTTGATGCGCGCGTATGCTATGCATGCGCGTAAAGCCAGTAAAGCGTTTAGCCATGCGAGCTTCCGATATTGAAGAAAGTTACATTGAAAGAAATGTTTAATAAAGTAAAAAAATAAATATTACGCTTTTTTTGTAAATGTTGATACCCTTTAGATCATAATTGCTCTTTATTTCATAAATTACGGTTTCATAGTTTTAATTGTATAATTTCTGCATGCCGTCTTACCAGATTTAAATTGATGATCTATAATCCGGAAAACCCCTAATCCGGAATCGCCGGATTTCGGACTTTGTACTGTATGTATATATATATGTATATATATATATACCAAATTTGATCAAAGTTCAATAAATAGAACGGGTTCTAGAGTGGTGTGACTAGGGTCACTTTAATTATAACCCCTCTGTACGCATAAATACGCTGTTACGCTAAAAGAATGTTTCAAATGCCCCCGTAATATGAGACTTACTCAAACAATTTTCATGAAGACAGCTTCAGGTCTATACCTCGCTCCTAATATATGTTCGGAAATGTTTGTCATATTTCTGAAAAATTTTGAAAAGTAAAAAATAAACTGCATGCTGCATGGTAATTTATGTTGCATTTTTAGAGGATTGGTTAAGTTTATTTTATTATTTGAAAATTATCTTAATAAATCGCATTTTAATTCTTATAGCTGTACACCTGTTTGCACAGGAAGTTAATAATAAACTGAGACTTTAAATTTTTTTTTTTAAATGAGATTATATACTATAAGGTATTTTCTCTCTCCCTTCCGCTTGCCTTCGTGTTGTACTTGGAAGCATACACGTATTCGAGAGATCCAGGGTTCGAGCCCCGGCGAGGTCATTGCATATTTTTTATGTTCCAACATCGATTTAACCTAATAACTGTACAGTGATAAGGGCTGTCAAATTATTTTCATTGTATCGTACTTTTATAATGTAGAATTATGGGGAAATAATTAACATTTTTGTTATAAGCCAAATTATCATATTTTACCTTGCCATATATGTTTTTCAGATTGAAATTGAAGCAAAAGGAGGCAATGGATTCGCAGGAGATATCGCCATCGATCAAATTGTTATGTCTCTTGGTGCATGTCCACAACAAGGTAATGATAATTTTCTGACTTCATCTATTAGGTTGGCCAATAAGTCCTGGAGTTTTTTTTTTTTAAGTGAAAGTTTTTCATGAAAAGTAAAATGTTTTGGCAATGTCTTTTATGTTATTCGATAGAGAATTATGTGCTCTATAACGCAGTGTGTTTAATTTTTTTATTAGTCCAAAGGGATTTGAATCCGGAAGGACTATTAGTTCCATTTTGGCATTTTGCGTCGGACTCATAAATGTCGGTTCACTTTTCAAACTGTTGCCACAAAATGTTAGAGTCCTGCATTATATTTGAAGAAATTAAATAATGAAAATCTGCATAAATGTATGTATATTTCTCGTATTGTGATAAAACAACGGTACATAGAGTCATCGAATTTTGAATAACCGTAATCCTCCAACGAATATGAGCATGTGGAAGACCAAATTTGAAATTTGAAATTTGTTTTATGATCGATTTCCTATTTTTTAAAACTTTGACGAATTTTTGATTAACAAACTCAAGGATTTCAAAGCGAGCAATGGCAACGTTGTGCAGAAAAAACATTTTTATCTCCAGCGCGTGAGTCTCTGTATCGGAAATTCTAAAGATATGCTCGTTTTAAAACTATTTTGCGATATTGCTGTTGCACTGGATCTTATGGTTTAAGTGCGAGGAACATGATATTTAATAAAGAAAGGTAACACACAAAATGTTAAAAAACGCCCTTTGGACATAATTTAAAATCTGAAACATTTCAGATTTTTTTATATATTTTTTGTTCTTTTCATGTCATTAAAATAAAGTGTCAAATCGGTCAAAAAAGAGCAATTTCGACACCTTCTGCTTTTTGCGTTTAATCGAGGTGCCAAAGCCACAGAAGCTGTCCGAAATATTTGTGACGAGGAAGCGATGGCTCAAAATTGATTTAAGCTGTTCAAAAATGGCGATGATTTTACATTCGAAGCATTGAACAGTTTATTGAACGTAGGGAACAAGTTGTAAAGACCAATGCAGAACACATTATTGATTGCTTTGTTTTTCATTTCTTGTTTATTTTTTGTGCGGCAGCAACCTAATTTTTTTTTAAAAGAAGGCAGAACTTATGGGCCAACTCAATATTTAATATAGTAGTATACTGCTATGATGGTATTGCAAAACTTTTGGGACTGGAATAGTTAGTTTGGTTAAATAATTCTGTTTATTTTACATTATTTTTTAAAACTATATATGCACAGACTCTTAGAAAAGTCCGTGGGTAAAAATATATTTACGGGTGCCCCTTGGCAAAAATTGATGATTTTTGGAGGTACATGGACATTGAAATGGTGCAATTCTTTGACTTGTTACTTTGGCTTTGTGTAGCGGCGATTATTGCGCAAAAAATCTCCGCTACTCAAAGCCAAAATAAAAAGTCAAAGAATTGTACAAATTCGGTATCCATGTACACATCGACTTATTTTCACTTAAAAACATCAGAGAATTGCACAAATTTGGCATTGCGCACTCCCTTGACTTTGTCCATGTACACATCGATCTATTTTCACTTAAAAAATTAAAGAGGCAGCCAATTCTACACTAGAGCCAAACAAAAAATATATAATCTCAATAAACTGCATTTTAAATCAAACAATGAAATAACATAAAAAAGGAAATTCTTCATAGCAACCAATTGCGTCATAATAGGGTTTCCTTAACATTCATTTACTCAGGTTACCACAAATGAAGCTACAACTTGGCGATAAATGACACAATAACTTAGCAATAATCCAAGTGGCACCCTTAAATATACTCTAACCAGTTCTTGTATGCCGTTAGAACAGGGGAATATTTTAACTATCTTCACTTTCCGGAAATTAAGCCGTCAGAAAAATAGCGGCCATGTTAGTGCTAGCAAAACCTGTTTAGAAAGTAATTTATACTTCTTTTAAAGGAGCTAAATAAATTGATTTCTGGAAAACAATAATTAGATTCTCTCATACTTCTTAAAAAATAAAAGCATGTAAGCTAAAAAGAAATTAATATTATTATCGATCGTGTAAGGATAATTTTGCCGGCGTGGATCCTTTACAAATCTTGAGTGCTAATTACATTTTCCTTCTGTTTTGTCGTTACCATCGACTGAATGTACATCTGCGGAAAGAAAACTTAAGAAAGTTAGTTAGGAGTCAGCAGAGATTCAAGTATATAGACTTCCATTGAAATTTCCTAGACTGTAAATATTTTCTCATTAAACTGGAAATTCTGCAGATGTGCGCTTAAAATGTGAACGAGATTGATCAAAGGTCTTCCGTACGGGTACTTCGGAGCACGTAAGGGTACACGTCATAAAGTGTTTTCTCTCTCCTTTCCATACGTCTTCGTGGTGTAATTCGAAGCATACTCGATGCGTATTCGAGAAGTCCAGGGAGGGCATCGCTCATTTTTCACGTTTCCTACTTCAAAACAACCTAATGGCTCTACAACGTATACGGTTGATTCAATTTGAAGCGTTTTCGGAGAGGTGGTGGTAGCAGGAACATTTTTTTAAGTTTCATGTTTCAAAGTATAGTGTTTTGTTTGTTGTTTCCTCGAAATTACCATTGTGAAGGGAACTCTTTAATCCTTACGTTTTAAAACCTAATTTATAAATAGTTGATGTACCGAAAGCTGTTAATATTAAGCAAATGTTGCTTGCATTTGATGGCAAATTTTCCAATTGATAGCCAGTGTATTTGATATACTACTTCGCTAATTAGCGGCTTGCGAATTTATCCGAGAAAAATACTTTTTCTATAAAATATTGCACTAATAAAAACTTTGAAATTATTGGTTTTTATTACTTTTATCTCAGATATGTGCGATTTCGAGAGTAGTCTCTGTGGCTGGACGGTTGAAGCAAACAGAAAGGGTAACTACTACTGGCAGAGAGGAGCAAACCTTATCAAAGGACCAGATAGAGATCATACCACAAGGACTGAAGCAGGTAAATATTCAACAATTCAGAGGTTATTCAGAAAATCTGTATCTTCCTTTAATTTGCCTGTCTGATTCTACCCTATTACTTCAGGTTATTATCTGCAAGCCTATTCTGACAGAGCTTCAGTCGGAGAAGAGACGGATTTGGTTAGTCGCATGTTCAACAGGAACTGGGGACCGCACTGCATCACGTTTTGGTATTACAGACCGGGTTTAAGCGTCGGAAAAATTAGTGTCAATTTCCGCATAGGTGGAAAAGACTTCCTCGAGTGGTCTGCAGCCAGTGATGTTGGAAAGTTTTGGCATTACGCACAAGTAAATGCTGATAGACCTGAAGCATTTAAGGTAAGGGATTTGCTGTTATTAGTTATGTTTCCCACTTGCCACTTTGGAAGTTTGCACATACATTCCTTGGTTAAAGCAATCAGCAAATTACATAGAATTGCTGCATTAATTAAGATATTCTGAATAAAAGGTCATAATTTGTTACCCTTAATTTAAAGATATTTTAATGCTGCATTTTCGTGTGCATGCATTTGAAACCTTTCATTTTCGGTGTAGAATTTTTTTTTTTTTTGCCATAATTCACTGAGTCACTAATTTATCAGGTATTTGTTTAACCAATGGCGAGCTCTCAGCCGACTTCGGCTTGGCAACAAACTATGGCCAGATGTGGTGGCCACTTTATTATGGAGGCACATATTAGGTGGGCCACTTTTGTCTCTAATGAAGGGACGGACAATTACAACCATGCCTTCTCCGATATTCGAATCCCAGCCCTTTGATATCGCAGTCGACTCCCCTAACCGCTATACCGTCTGAGCGGTAATTTATCAAGTATAGCCACATCTTCTTGGAGTTTCCAATTAAGTAATGTGCTAATTTTAATTCTATCAAAGCTTTTGTCAATGGAAAACGGCTCTAAATATTTTTAAACATTTCTTATTGTAACAAGGTCAAACAACTGTAACTATCTTCACATAAACGTACTATATCCATACTCACATAACTATCCATATCCACAAAGAAGTATTTATTAATATATTTACAACACTGTCGAAGATTGACTTCTGGTGAGTCCTTAGATGCTTACAAAATAATTTGCTACTTACGATTACTTATTAACTCTTGACTCTGAGGATTTTGTAGCCCATCTGAAACTGAAATTTTATCCTAAGACTAATTCCAGAAGTCAATTGTTTTTCATATTTATACTGAAAAACAGTAGCTGATGTTTTGAAAGGAAGAAGAACGCATTCTAGTAAAGTTTAATTTCAAACAGAGGATGGCACAAAATCTGCGTCACTTGCATCTTAGAAAGATTTATGCAAAGAGCTGATTGAACACCATACGTGTTGTAAACACAAACAGAACCTTGTCAGTATTTAAAAAATAAAGGCAATTAAAATGATCATAACATTTAGATCAAAAGTAACTTATATCTGTCTAAGAGGGCTTCTCAGGTACATAGTACGTAATTTCCTATCTCGGACAAATATTAAAGAATAACATATTGTGTATTTCATCGACTTCTGTCAGTTATAAAAAACTTCGGGAAAATGTTGGCAAATTGATGTTCCAAAAGATCAAAGATGCTGTGGATAATAGTAGGGAGATTGAAACTGATCATATGATTTAGTTAAAAAATAGCTAAGTAAGATGGCTGCTACGGCACTTAGTATATAATTTCCTGTTTCCGACAAATATTAAAATCGATGAAACATCTTGTATGTTTCATCGATTTCTATTGACTTCTAAAGAACCTCGAGAAAATGTCGGCAAATTGATGTTCCAAAAGATCAAAGATGCTGTGGATAATAGTAGGGAGATTGAAACTGATCATATGATTTAGTTAAAAAAATATCTAAGTAAGATGGCTACTACGGCACTTAGTATGTAATTTCCTGTTTCCGACAAATATTAAAATCGATGAAACATCTTGTATGTTTCATCGATTTCTATTGACTTCTAAAGAATTTCGAGGAAATGTTGGCAAATTGATGTTCCAAAAGATCAAAGATGCTGTGGATAATAGTAGGGAGATTGAAACTGATCATATGATTTAGTTAAAAAAATATCTAAGTAAGATGGCTACTACGGCACTTAGTATGTAATTTCCTGTTTCCGACAAATATTAAAATCGATGAAACATCTTGTATGTTTCATCGATTTCTATTGACTTCTAAAGAACCTCGAGAAAATGTCGGCAAATTGATGTTCCAAAAGATCAAAGATGCTGTGGATAATAGTAGGGAGATTGAAACTGATCATATGATTTAGTTAAAAAAATAGCTAAGTAAGATGGCTACTACGGCACTTAGTATAATTTCCTGTTTCCGACAAATATTAAAATCGATGAAACATCTTGTATGTTTCATCGATTTCTATTGACTTCTAAAGAACCTCGAGAAAATGTCGGCAAATTGATGTTCCAAAAGATCAAAGATGCTGTGGATAATAGTAGGGAGATTGAAACTGATCATATGATTTAGTTAAAAAATAGCTAAGTAAGATGGCTACTACGGCACTTAGTATATAATTTCCTGTTTCCGACAAATATTAAAATCGATGAAACATCTTGTATGTTTCATCGATTTCTATTGACTTCTAAAGAATTTCGAGGAAATGTTGGCAAATTGATGTTCCAAAAGATCAAAGATGCTGTGGATAATAGTAGGGAGATTGAAACTGATCATATGATTTAGTTAAAAAAATATCTAAGTAAGATGGCTGCTACGGCACTTAGTATATAATTTCCTGTTTCCGACAAATATTAAAATCGATGAAACATCTTGTATGTTTCATCGATTTCTATTGACTTCTAAAGAATTTCGAGGAAAATGTCGGCAAATTGATGTTCCAAAAGATCAAAGATGCTGTGGATAATAGTAGGGAGATTGAAACTGATCATATGATTTAGTTAAAAAAATATCTAAGTAAGATGGCTACTACGGCACTTACTATGTAATTTCCTGTTTCCGACAAATATTAAAATCGATGAAACATCTTGTATGTTTCATCGATTTCTATTGACTTCTAAAGAATTTCGAGGAAATGTTGGCAAATTGATGTTCCAAAAGATCAAAGATGCTGTGGATAATAGTAGGGAGATTGAAACTGATCATATGATTTAGTTAAAAAATAGCTAAGTAAGATGGCTACTACGGCACTTAGTATATAATTTCCTGTTTCCGACAAATATTAAAATCGATGAAACATCTTGTATGTTTCATCGATTTCTATTGACTTCTAAAGAATTTCGAGGAAATGTTGGCAAATTGATGTTCCAAAAGATCAAAGATGCTGTGGATAATAGTAGGGAGATTGAAACTGATCATATGATTTAGTTCAAAAATACCTACCATCTATCTGAGATGACTATTCAGACACCTAGTATGTAACTTCCTGTTTCAGACAGATATTAAAGAATAACGTATTGTGTGTTTCATCGACGTCTAGTGATAAAACTTCGGGAAAAAGTTCGCAAATTTATATTCCGAAACATGAAAGCACTGTGGAAATTAACTCTGATCATATCATTTAGTTCAAAAATACCTAATATATATCTAAGATACTCACACATTTAGTATGTAATTTCCTCTTTCGGATAAAAATTAAAGAATAACATTGTAAGGATCCTAAGTTTTACTAACGTTTATTTTATTTTAAAACTGTACTATCACTTCTTATTTTCTACTTCCGGCCAGAATTAAATGCTTTAACTTGTTTATGCAAATTGTCTTGCTAACGCCCAAGTATTTAAGTTGTGGCTTTTTGCCGAGAGTTAGAGAGAGAGAGAGAAGGAGATTTAGGAAGCGAGCCGCTTTCCACTGCAGGCTTACGAGTTTTCACTCGGTTGCTGGTTGCCTTCAAGGTCAGAGGTTTAGCCCTCTTGATATTCGCAAACGTATTGTAGTTTCTGCAGCTCGGCGTACTACATACGTACCCGTTTAAATAAAGGCCAGTCTTAGTGCCAGGCATTTGTATACTAATTTAAAGTTAGCTTATAGTTAGAGTTTTAGTTAGTAGTTTTATATTCTTACGTTCAGACCACAAGTGGTTGGTCTCTGTATTCCGATGTTTGGAAGTACCTGTAAAGTATTGAAAATAAAGGGTTTCGTATACCTTTCCTGTTTGTGTCGTCTGTTATACACAAATCTTGAACATGGCTTGAGTAAGCTCCCTGTTCTTATTCAGGACATACCATGTTTCCAAAGCAAATCAAGAGAAACACAAGTCCTAATAACATCTTCTGTGTTTCATCAACTTCTAGTGAGTTATAAAAAACTTCTGGGAAACGCTCGCAAATTTCTTTTCCAAAACATCAATGATACTGTGAACATAAGTTGGGAGATGCGTTTACGAAATTTCATTGACTTTAAAAAATATTCAGATATCTTCGAGTTACAGATAGATTTATGATAAAATTTAGAACTCATTAAATTAAAAACGGACGTTACGTAAATCCTAAATCGCATTGTAATACATAATTCTGTATGCCTTGTTGTTGTTGTTGCCGATGCTCACTTGTCAGCCCTAGCCCATAAAATTCCTCGTGGCAAGGAGATCAAGATTATGCCTATCTTGGCAACAGCCTTGAGCGCCTTACAGGTGGCACTGCGATTTAGCTCCTTTCTGCCCCCCAATTTTGATGGAGAGTACCTTCTTTATCAGTTAGCTATATAAAAACTACTATCAGTGTAAAATTTAGGTATTGGGCACTAATAATTATGTTTCCAGTTCATTCATCAGAAGAATATCATGTTTAATTTCTTATTTTACAGATTGTAATTAAGGCAGAGAAAGGGAGAAACGATGACCATCAGATGGCAATTGATGATCTTTGGATAAAGAACAGCCGATGTGGTCCACCAGCCGCTTGCAGTTTTAACAACGATTATTGCAGTTATTTCCAGAATGAAACTTCTGATTTTGCGTGGCTGCTGGGAACCGGACGCGTCGTCAACACTCAGTTAATAGATGACCCTCCAGATGATAACAGCGTCAAAAATGGTGAGTTTGTAAGGATTAGGTTAATTTTGCTAACAGTTAATTTTTAGTTTAAAATTACTTTTCTGTCTTCTTGAATTTCAACTGACAACTTACGGCCAGAACGTTTTTTCAGAATCGCGTTTGAATGCAGATGAGGAGAAGTATTTAACTGTGAAGTTCCTCTGACTTCGTGAGAGAGCCAGTGATTCTGACTAGCACGCGTTCGCCTTTTTAGGCTACTTTCTCTCTTAATCTATTACTGCGCTCGGCCGTACTTTAGGCCCTTGATAGCTTCGCCGTTAACTAAGCATTAAGGGGCCAACTCTGTTAGAAATCTTCATAGCTTCGCCGTTAATTAAGCATTAAGGGGCCAACTCTGTTAGAAATCATGATAGCTTCGCCGTTAATTAAGCATTAAGGGGCCAACTCTGTTAGAAATCTTGATAGCTTCGGAAGGCATTACCAGTTGACCTATGGTACATCGCTGGTGTCCCCCATACTTTTACCTTTACCTATATCTTTTTAGTTAAGTTTAATTTCTCACTTTCCTGAGTTCAAGCCTGAGTGGAGGCTTTATTGTAAAACTCCAAGAAGGAGTTCTGTGAAATTAATTTGGAATACTAAATGGTATTTAACCCTTCCCAAGCCTTATTTTCTGTCTCACGAACTGAAGCGATTATTTCCTTCTCAGTTCTTATGATTCTTAAACTTTTAGGGGGCTCATACACCTTAAACCCCTTATGATCTTCGAATATGTGACTGTTGCAAGAATTGGAATATTTTATTTATTTTAAAAGCACTTATTTCCAACCTTTTACAGCTGATTGCATAATATAGCTGCTTTGAAAACTAGTAACCAGAAAGTTTATGTTGCCACAAATATTTTTGTAATTTAATCCGCTTTGTGACAAAATTTTCGTTATGTTTCCACGTTGCACGCATGATATTTTAAAAATGGCTATTGGTACGTACTTGAAATTTTATGGAATTCTTTATATGGTCACTATTTTCTAACTGAACCAAAAATCTGATGAATATTTTAATATTAAAAATTTTTATGAACGAAAACATTACAGATATTTTTAATAAAATACATTTGATAAACTCAACTCCAAATAAAATAAAAATTTAACATGAAATTCTTAGAATTTTTGGTTCACTGTAGTTTTCAAATGCTATAAAAGCTATATATTAAATATGGAATTAAATTACGCAACAAAATGTTTTAAACTGTGCGCGCAAGGTGTAAACACGACGAAAACGTTTGTCACAGAGCGGATTAAATTATAAAAATATTTGTGGCAACACAAAATTTCTGATTACTATTTCAGAAAGCAGCTATATTATATTATGTAGTCAGCTGTAAAAGGTTGGAAGTAATTGCTTTTAAAATAAATAAGTTATCCCAGTTCTTGCAACAGTCACATATTCGAGGATCTTATGAGTTTTAAGGTGTATGAGTCCCCTTAAATTTCATTTAAAAGTAAACAGCTTAGAATCTTACAAGTTTTCTGAACGTTACATTTCATATCATATAAACGTTTTTGTCACGTGACGTACAATGAATGCACTTAAGTGAGGGATCTTACATAAAGCAAACTTTTGAAGTAATTGAGTGATGTACGATATGTGTCTCTTTGGTACACTGGGGGGAAAATGGGGCAGTTCTATATCTCCTGATCTACTGGGCTGATTGAAGAAATTCAAATTGCGTTCCTCATGTCTCGAAAGCGCGACTTAAGATATATATTAGATTTATACACATCATTGTTCTAATATAGGTACTTTGACACAAAATCGGACTTTTTCTGAAATGATATGCGAATTTCTTTCCATATTTCGGTTCTATGACGCAAATTATGCCTAAATGTTAAATTTTATAAAATTTGGTGAGAAATTTACCGAGAAATTTAAAAAAACATATCTCGGCGCATTTTTTTCAGTGTGGGCCAAGAACTGACACTTGGCGAATTTCTTAATTCATAGTAACCTATTTCCCTTTTTTCCTTTCAGTATGTACGAGAGGACAAAAAGGTGCTTCGTTTATTATTTCAAATAATTTTAGCTAACTGCGTAAACCACATTTGGCGTTATTTTCGGTTATATTAAATATGCCAAATTTCAAACGCGTTAATATATAAATTTGCGTATATCTTGGGAACTTTTGAATAAAAAACTCTAATTTTTTTAAACTATGCCTAGAAATACATCTACTTTAAGGTGATAGTATAAAATTTATAGGTTATAATTAAAATATTTTTGAAACATTCATAAGAAGCTACTAAAATACAAATTAAAAAAAAATCACAAAATATTTAATTTTATTTGAATTGAACCTAAATTCTGTAATGTGAAGGACGAAATCAAGTAAGCTTAATAAACAAAGCGATATTAATAAATATATACGAAATTCAGCTAGCACTAAGGAGCTAAAACTTTGAAAGCTTATTTTTTTTAAAAATTGCTCTTAATTGAAATATAGGAAAACATCGGTCATTTCAGAGAAACCCTGATTTTGGTCAAAATGCCAAAATTAGAATAATGCTCTATATAAATCAAATATATATCCAAATTAGCACTTTCGAGATATGATAAATACCAGTTAAATTTCCTCTATCGTTCCAGTAGAACGGGAGATATAGAAGTGTCTCATTTTTTTACATATATGCTGTTTGTACATTCCTTCAAAGTATGTTTCTTTCAATTATGACATAATTTCAACTTTATCCACCATTAATTTAGCTTGAGGGGAATATCGGATATGCCTTCAAATGTGGAACAAAACTTTATTAAATGAAGACAGAAAAGAAATTTTTTCTGCAAAAGAATATTATGCCTTCGAAAATTATATAGCTTATCTTATTTGCATCACGGAAAATAATTTGGTATGCATTTACTATAATACAAATATAAGAATGGCACTCAAAAAATAAAAGGAAAATGAAATATTTCATAATTTCTCTTAAATCATAACACAAACCAACTTTTCGACCAAATTAAAATGACGATTTTCTCCTCTAAATAACCAACTCGTTTTCGTTCTAAATGAAATTCAAACAATCGCTTTGAATTTTATTAACATAGGTCTGAAATTAAACAAATGGTATTGTTTCTAATTTTAAATAAATTAAATGAAGAAATCTTTTTTATTGTATACCTTACTTATTTAAACTGAACATAATTTGATACATTAATTTATTACTAGAAAAGACTTAATATAAAATATTAAATACAATTAATGATGCAATAAAATCAAGCAATTAAATAATATAATAATACAATTAATATCGACAATAATATAATTATCAAGCAATTAAATAATATAATAATACAATTAATAACAACAACAATAATAAATTATATAGCAATAAAATAATATAAATACAATTAATATTACATAATTTATAATATAATTATAAAGCAATAAAAAATATAATAGTAAAAATAACAATAACAACAATAATATACTTATAAAGCAATAAAATAATATAATAATACAATTAATGATACATTAATAATATAATTATAACGCAATAAAATAATACAATTAGTTATGTAATGTCCTTCTAAAGCTCTGTACCTACAGTCTGTAGTAAATTTATTATTTTAAGTGTGCAAATAATAATAAATCACACAATCAAACATGTAAACAAATCAGCAACTGGTATAATATTACTTGAACTAGAAACAGGATCAACATTTGGACAGTTAGACTTTTTTAGTATGTTATGATTTCCTTTGATTTACCTTTTATTGTAGTTTAGTTTTCAGAACTCAGAATCTTCGCAATAAACTGGTGTGCAAAAATTAAGGACGAGACGGTTTTTTCATTATAACTTTGTACAAAAGCTTTCCAAATCAACACATTTAATACCGTAAGATCCCGAATACGTAAGGACATGAGTAATGTAAGCAACACTTACTAAAAGAGAAATCAGAGGAATAAAAAGAAGCTTATTGAAAAAGTAGCATGGATGCGCAATGACGGACTGAAGGCCGAAAACATCCCTTGTGATGGATGTCCAGTAAGAAACATCCGGTCTTTAATAGGGGATGATCTCCCTGACTGCTAGGCAGGTTTCACAGCGTCTGCCCTGCTGATGATAATGAGGGTATCAATGAGTTGTTGAGGCATTGCTACCCCATTCGTCTTGAGCGCCAATCGAAGCTCCGGAATCGTTACTGGTGGTAAGGTACGAGCTGCCAAGCGTCTGCCCTAGAAATTCCCATACATGCTCGATGGGATTGAGATCCGGAGATCGTTGCCGGCCAATCTATACGTTCAATCTCCCTCACTCTCTAAGAGCTGTTCGGCAGCTACTGTGCGATGACATGGTGCATTTTCGTCCGTGTGAAAAGGAACTGCGGACCCATAGCGCCTCTAAAAAGAAGCACATATGGAAGAAGAATCTCGTTTTACAATATCGGGTCCCGTTGACTGAACCTGCGTCGAAGATGTGAAGGTCTGTACGACTACCAAGCATGATGCCTCCCCAAACGAGAACACCGCCACCTCCATACCTGTCCCTTTCAATGATGTTCGAGGGATGATTGCGGCTTCCCCGCTCTCTCCAGATGAGTATGCGATGAGAATCGCTACTCAGACTGAATCCGTTCTCATCTGTAAAGAGTACTCGTCCCCATTCATTTTCTCTCGAATTCCGGTGTTCCCGGCACCACAGAGAACGCCTTCTCCGATTGGCAGGCGTTAGAGGTACACACCGTACAGGGCGTCGTGCAAACAGATCACCACCGTGAAGTTTCTGGCCACGGTTAAAACGCGGATATCGGTCGTCCAGTCGCCTGTGTCGTGTGTCTAGGGATTTCTCCCGCTGTCTGCCGCCTGTTCTTTTGACCTGTAAAGAATATACGGTCATCTGCGAGTTGGTTCCTCGTGGACGACCACTACTAAACCCCCGGATTAGCTGTTCCTGTAGTTGAAATTGTCTCCAAAGTCGTGAAACGATGCTGTGAGCAATTCCGAACTTCCAGCCACACTTGTCACACTGCGGCCTTCCTTCAACTTCCATATGATTCGACCTCGGGTAAAAGCATCCAGATGTCGTCTAACAGATTGATTATTCGCCATTTCTCGCTGAGGCAGCAACTCGGTGTGATTTTAACTGCTATACGGTCTCTTTGCCAGAAATACTGATCTTACACCGACAACATGCTTTATACTACTCAGACACTCTCCCATTACGTCTACCTGCATATCTGCGCATGTGCTACCGTACATCACCTTACTTAATCTCCTGATTGGTCTTTCTGTCCGCTCTGCCTCTTCGTTCAGCTGATATGCTAATTTTTCGACTTCGTCCTTAATTTTTCCACACCAGTGTATTTGTTTAGTTTACGATTTTCTCTGATTTACCTTTTATTGTAGTTTAGTTTTCAGAACTCAGAATCTTCGCAATATTTGTTTAGTTTACATACTATACATATTTACCAGTAAATATTTCTCACACAAAATTCATTAAATTTATACATATCTAAAAATCATTTCTATTTCTTGATGAGCTTGTTCCTTTCGCATTAAAAAATATCAGTTTATTAGTTATTTCGTTAAGTTTGAATATGAAATTTAGATTGCAATATTTTTAGTATTGCTTATTATTGTTCTCATTTATTTCAGGTATGTACGTTTATGCTGATATGACGTCACCAAATCTTAAGGAAAATAAAACAGCTGTGCTTGTCAGCGAAATTCTTGAAGTGTCTTCTCAAGGAGTTTCATGTCTCACATTTTTCCTTCACAAAAGTGGCGCAGGTGAGCTAAGAATATTTTCATTCGTCTAAATGTTTATTCTATGTAGATTATTTCTTCGAAGGGCATTGCATATTATATGAAGGTTAAGAAGTAGGTGTAATTAACAAGTGAATGTAAATGACGGCAGATCTTTCTGATTTTCAATCGAGTATTTGGAAGCAGAATGAAATAATATGTATTAAAATATGAGAATTTAAAAAATTCTCAGAAACTATAATATCTCTGGCGACATCGTTTGCAGAACTAAAAAACCGTCTCTCAAACTCTTCGTGTTGCAGTTTCCTTTTTTCTCAAGTGGCAGCAGTAAAAGAATTTGGTTTAAAAATTGAGCATTAGAATTTGATTTAAGAAACTCGTTATCATTTTACTACTGTTCTGTCGTTAATAAATTTATTTAAAGAAGTTCTCTAAGGAATGTTATTAATACATTTGTATTAATCAACGAACCTATAGTAATTAATGAATGTTAAACTATTAATTTTGTGTTAAGAATAATGATGTGGTACTTAGTATGTATTTGGCCATTGACCATTTCCGACAATAATGTTAAAGAGTGAAATTTGTCGCCAGTGATGGATAAGCGTGACGTCACGATGTATTCATAAGAACTTCTCTTTAGTTTTGTGTAAGCCCGATTTTCAGTCAGTCAGGTTGCGTTTTGTAAGGAAGTTATAAATTAATTGCTGTCTTTCTGTTTTTTACCGTTGCATCTTAGAAAAAGGAATAAAATTTGGGAACAGTCTTCTACAAAACAGCATGCAATGGAGTCCAGCAATTCAAAGTGCTGGACTGGATATACTGATGCTCATACTCGAAACGTTAAACCTAGGGTTCGTCAAAATGGCGCAATGAGATACACAGTGGAATAACGCAACATCACATGGATTCATATTTAAGTGAATTTAGGTGATTCAAATTCATAAAAATATCGTAATTTTATTTTTATTTTATCTTCCATAAGCGACTTCGGCCGTCAAAACATTGGCGTTAGTTTTAGTGAATTCGTAAAGACTTCAAAGTTTTTAAATAGCGATTCGTATTAAAAAAACTATTACGGAAGCTGTTAACATATTGATACGAAATGTACAGGCGCGGTGGGAAAGCTTCCCCGCAAAGCAGTTTTAGGGTTGCCATAAAATAGCGAGGGAGGCATGGTTGCCACATTTGGCGATAAATCGCCCATTTAGCGGCATTTGGTCTCAAAATTGGTGATTAACCATGGACGGATGGAGAACCTTCTGAACGAATTCTTACCAGTTTAGCCCAGAATGTTCTCGAACACAAGCCGAAAGCTATATAAAACCTGCTGGTCCGCAGTCAGTCAGTCAGTGTGTGTCTCTCATCGAGTGAGTGTGTCTCGTCTAGCGAGTCAGTCCCTGCGGAGTGGATCGAGTTGACAGCCGGGCAGCGAGTGCCGAGTGGGTCGTCGAGTGCACCGCAAGAGTCTCGTAGTATATCGCGGTCAGTGCGTCGTCGAGAGAGCGTGTTGGGCTCCGGGAACGACTGAACCGAAGAGTCGGGAGCTGTGCTCGTGTGTCGTCGAGTGCATCGCGAGTTGTAGCGTGGAAAGTCTCGAGTGTACGTGAAGTTCCGAGAACGACCGAGCAGAGTCGGGAGCTTTGCAGTGAAGCTGTCTGTCTCCACCGTTATTGCCTGACAGTGGGAAGGCTCTGTCGCTGATTGTTCCAGCGTGTTTATAGTAGATTTTCGACGACTGCAAAAAGTGTTATTGAAGCTGTCCTGATTAATATTGGCTGAATAAATTGTGTTTCGATACTTCATCACGTGCCGTCGTTATTCACTCCAAATCCACACGAACCCCGTACGAACGTGAAGGAAGAAAATAACGTAACAATATTTTAGACGATTTTGCTATGCTATAAAAGTCCTCTGCTGGGAGATTTTTGTTTTAACTGCAGGTAAATTTTTGAAAGTATAAATTATCGTCTGCTACTTGAGCAGACGCATGGACGCTTTTCATTCAAAATGGCGCTTTTAAAGAAGCAATGTACGCTATCCGAAGAAATTATTTCGCATCTAATTATTAAAAACACGATGAAAGACATGGTGTATCGATACTTAAAACTACGGTAGGTAATATTATCAACAAGAAAGGAAAAAAGTCAGAGTATAGCCTCATGTGGAAAATGTGTTCCAAATACTTACTTATACAAGGAAAAGAACAGAATGATTTGAATGTAATGTTAAAAGTCACCAAGTCAATTCACAGTTGCAAAATTATTAAAATGCTCAGTCAACTGTAAACAAAGCAATTAACGCTGCTTTGAATGTTAAAAGGTCGAAAAAACACAATGTGTATCGTCCTTCTCCACAATATATCGCAAAGCGCTGCAGAATTCTTTATAATAAACATTTATCCGGACAGAAAATGGAAAATGTTATCAAAATAGATGAATCTTGGGTGTATTTAAATGATAGCAATATGTTGAGATTAATTTATTATCACCAAATCGGTGGAAACAAGTCTTAAAACATGGTTCAAAGAATCTAAGGAAAGTTTTTCAAAGGGATTTATGATTGTTGCTTGTTTTTCATATAACGGCAAATTAAAATAAAGAGAGTATGGGAAAAATTTTCAGATCAACTTCAAATATTATCAGGAACATATTTTATACCCAGTTTTCAAATAGAAAATGCCATCTCTTTAACCCCAGTTCCATCAAGCAGTAGAATTGCATTAAGACAAAGCATGCAGCGTCAAGTCAAAATCAACTACAGTCAAAAGTCTTTAATTCTGACTCGTCGGGACTTCGGCGATTCCGAATTAACGGTTTTTCTGGATTATAGATCATCAATTTAAATCTGGTAAGATAGCATGCAGAAATTATAAAATTAAAAATATGAAACCGTAATTTATGAAATAAAGAGCAATTATGATCTAAAGGGTATCAAAATTTACAAAAAAAAAAAAAAAAAAAAAAAAAAAAAAAAAAAGGCTTAATATTTTTTTCTTTACTTTATTAAACATTTCTTTCAACGCGCGCATGCGTAAAGCATACATTACGCATAGTCGAAATTAGAAGATTGCAACCAGAAAACTATTTGATGTGTATTCGTGATATTTATAATGACGAGGAATTTGATTTAAATCATATCAAAGACGGAGTACATCGAGATGAAATACTATATTTAGTAAGGAATTTTAAGCCGAATAAAATAAAAATATCTGCCCTGAAGATACGGATAGTGCAGACAGATCAACTTCCAGTTCATTGCGCGCCGCGACGTTCCCCCCCCCCCCCGCGCAGAGCAGCGTGAAATTGATAAACAGATTTTGGAATGGTTAGAGAAACAAAGGATATGCCTTTATCCATTTTTTTGCAGCAATTCCACTTTTTGTTTGATGGACATCGAAACATGCTTTCGCTTTGTAGATCCTTTGGCAGCTTCACGATCGAAAATTCTTTTTGACATAATCGAAAGTTCAAGCTTACTGTTATAAAATAGCTCTAACAGTTTGCAAAAAATAATAAGCCGGATCCAATTCGAAGATTAAGGAACAATGCAATCTGCAACATTAACTGAAATAGATAATTAGATCCTTTTAGCTTAGCTTATACCGTCCGTTATACAATTAACGCGCATGCGTAAACGTATTATGCTTATGCGTAAAGGTATTATGTGCATGCATAAACGCATATGCGCACGCGTCAACGCATTATACGTTGACGCATGCGCAGAATGTTTGTAGCTTTGAGGTCCGGATTATAGATCATTCCGTATTATGGACGTCCGGATTAAAGACTTTTGACTGTATTGCCTAGGAAAAATGGCACAAGAAGCGAATATCAAGGCCTTTCACACATATCCCTACTAAATCTCCTAATGTATAACTCATGGATTTTTGTGCTTTTGGACTTTTGAGAAGCGGATTATCCAGATGTCGATCTACAACCTTCCTTGGACTTGTCTTGGAAATTACGGTGTTGAAAGATGGTGAAAAGTACCAGTTATCAAACAGAACATTAAAACACAAAAATGAACAAACAAACAAAACAACAACAACAAAAAAAAAAAAAAAAAATTCTGAAAACTTTCTAATTTTACATTGTGCCCAAAGGGGAGGTTTTTTTTTTTTTTTTTTTTGGAACTTTTTGTGTGTTACCTTTATTTACTAAATATCCTGTTTTTTGCACATAAACCATAAAATTAAGTTCAACAGCAATATCGCAAAATAATTTTAAAATGAGCATATTTTTAGAATGTCCGATACACAGTCTCACGCGCTGGAGACAAAAATGTTTTTTTTCTCATACAGTGTTGCCATTGCTCGCTTTTAAATCGTTGAGTTTGTTAATCAAAAATTCGTCTAATAGTTTTACAAAATATGAAATAGATAATAAAACAAATTCCAAATTTGGGCTTCCAGATGCCCATATTCGGGTGGAAACGAACGTTATTCAAAATTGGATGGCTTTAGGTATAGTCGTTTTATCACAGTACGAGAAACATATATTATACATGTATGCAGATTCTTCATTATTTAATTTCTTTAAATATAGCACAGGACAGTAATATTTGGTGGCAACAGTTTGAAAATTGAACCGGCATGTAATGTTTTCAACGCAAAATGCCAAAACGAAATTAATAGCCCTTTTGGGGTAACGCCCTTTGGGCTAACAGTGTTGTGTTCTACAAAAATAAGCACAAAAAGACACAAAGAATAAACCTTTGAGTCTTTTGTGGAATGTCCGCAAATAAATGTTAGGGAAAAAATGTCAGGAAATATTAATCCGCGTAGCCTTCGCAGAAGAATTTTTTTTTTAAATTTCTGTGAGTAGCATTGCAAAAATTCGTCTGGTGTTTGTAACTTTATTATTATTATTATTATTTTTTTCATTTTTAAAGACATTATTTAAAATGTATTTTAAAATATTTGATGTTCGGAAATAATTGCTAAGAAAATGTTACTGAATGTTAAGTTTCAATAAGAACGTGTCCATTGATAAACTGTAAATCGTCTTAAATTTCAAAGCAGTTTATTAAATTTTAATCCTTTTGCTTCTCAGATAAATCTATGTTTTCTGTTGGCAAGATGGTTCTAGAGAATGTTAATAAAGAAATGACGTACAAACAGTCCCAACTATTCCAAACAGAAGAAACTACTGGTAAAGGCTGGGGAAAAGTTCAGATCAGTATTCCAGCTAAAAATGGAGAAACTCATCAAATATATTTCTCGGCTGTCAGAGGAAGCGGTGCCAGATCCTTCACTGCCATTGATGACATCACGGTTGAGAATGAAGCCTGCTTAGGTATATGGAAAATGTTTTCGAAATTAACATGTTTTCTGAAAAACGTTTCCCTCATAAAACTGTATTCTAAAACTTCTACAGTTAAATTCCTCATTTAACTGTATTCTAATTTCCCTCATTTAACTGTATTCCTCATTTAACTGTATTCTATACTAACTGTATTTAACTGTATTCTAACTGTATTTAACTGAAAATGTTTCCCTCATTTAACTGTATTCTAACTGTATTCTAAAAGAAAACATTAAAGAATAGAAATCCTACATCAGAAAAGGAGGAATAAACAAAATTTGGATAGTTAATATTTGTTGGCATAATATTGGTTAATATGATTAAAAAATCATGATTTTCAGTTTAGGTCTGAAATTATCCAAAAAATCTTCATCATTTTGTGAATTTGATTTGATTAAAACTACGCGAATTCGTGAAAAGTGTCAATATAATTAATAATTTTTAAATATTTTCTGTTATTATTTAAAATTAGAACAAAAAATTAATGTGTTAATTAATGCGCTATCAGAAAGTTTTTGCAGATTGCTTTACGTGTCATATAAATTAAATTTCTCAGTCGCCTTTAGAAATATAAAATAAGTTTCCTTTAATTTATATTAGGATCGTCAATTCATATTTTCATTGAAAATGTTTTCTTTTTAATAAGGCATGTATTTTATTCATGAAAATTATTTATTCACGTAATTAATGTAATTAATTAATTCACGTAATTAATATACTTAATTTATGTACTAAATTACTTTATTACAGTTTGCAAATGAATTTTCTTTTGTTTATTTTTTAAAGACTAACATGAACTTAAACATAAATTCTGTATCTAGTCACAGAGTTCTTCTAATTTCAAGTTGTTTAATTTATTTACGAGTTTTCTGCATGCAGTTTTTAAAACAAATTGGAAACTTTATACTCTCTAATATTGGCTTGATATATTTTCGTTTGTGTTATTAAAAGTGTTGCTGGTTTCTTTCTAATCAGTACCCTATTGATTGTTTTCGTGTTCCTTATATTGTATATGAACTCTTTGAAATATCGAACATTTTTATGCATGTATTGTTTTGAACAATTTTTCTTGTGATTTCTAGTCATTGCTTCTTGCATAGAATCTAATGAAAAAGTCGAGCTTTGAAAGTCGAGCTTGATTTCATTGGATAGTCTTCTAGCCATTTTGAGTGAGCATCGACGATTATCAAAAACATATGCTCAAAAATAGGTCCTGCATAATCGATGTGAATACGTTCGATTGGAGCGCTCGAGTTCTCCCAGTGATGAACTTTTACGTTAGGAGGATCTGTTCTATGTTTTGCACATTCAGAACAGTCTTGGGAAGTATTTTCGATATCTTTACCATTCTAAAATACATAAGATCTAGCAATTGCTTCCATCTTTGCAGTCCCTAAGTTTCCGTGGTGCAACTTTTTCAAAACATTCTCACGGTATCGTTTTGGAATACAAACGCGTTGATCATACATTTATACAGCTATCTTGGAGATTATACTCCATCTCCCTTCCTTTTAATCCACCCCCGCTTGGAAGTATTCCTAGCAGAGAACTGAATTCTGCATCAATTTCAGTTTTTTTAGCCAAATCACTGGCAGTGATTGGAAGAGTTTCAATCTGCTGTAATTGAAAAATAGTTACATCATCCTGAACAGACAGTTGCTCTGAGTTCGTTGGCAGTCGTGATAAAAAGTCAGAATTACCATGCTCGTTTGTTTTACGGTAAATACTATCCAATTGGAATGACTGTAAAGCCAAAACGTAACGTAGGAGTTCTTGTTGCTGCCGAAATTGGCATGCCTTTCTTTGAGCTGAAAATTGCAACAAGAGGTTTATGATCTGTAATTAATGTAAATTTTCTGCATTTTAAGTACAGAAAATGTTTTAATTCCCCAAATAATTGACAAAGCTTCTTTTTTAAAATTTTTTAAAATCACACATCCATCGTCGCCACTCATTTTCTTATTGTTGCGCACGTTTCGATGCTTGGCGCTGTGCCAGCTTTAAGTACGATTATGATATACCACATCGATAGTTCTCGACATACCACATCGCCTAAGACTGAATGTTAACGCAGAATTTCAACTAGTAACGTAGCGTTCAGCGGCGGGACACGCTCTGATTAAACAATTTAAAACTTCCCTTTAAATTCTATCTCTGTCTGTCTTATTTGAATAACCATGAACTAAAATTTTCATTCTGGCAGCAAAGCGGAAAAGACAGTAAAGGTACTTAATATTTGGTTAGATAAAATAAATAAATACTTTACACATTATTAAAGCTGTTTCCAAAGTTAGCTATGATGATATTTTTCTGAAACGTCCAAATCGTCCGTGCTAAGCTAAACATCATTTGTATTATCTCATTCCACAATGAAATTTCTCACGTTTTGTATTTGTAATTTAATTTGTACATAATATAATCATGTGATTTCATTCGCATGTAATTAAGGTAGTACACTGCGGTAAATTACTAGTTTCTTATGAGCTAGATGTAATCTGTTTGCTCTGATATTAAATTTGTTTTATTCATTTAGATGCTACAACGTTACCACCAGTAACAGTGACAGAAATGCCTGGTAAGTGATCTTAAAATCTTTTTCATTTTGCCATATTATTTAATAGATAGTGATTCATAATCCTATAATCATTTTCAAAATATAAATTGAGATAACTTGCTTATAGCATTGATAACAGAGAAAATATATATCACAGCCGATACAAGATAACTTACACATGTACGTTTTGTGCTGCAGATTCTCTAGTAATTCGCTTTTCGTTAAATATCCATTTTAAGAACAGCATAAAGTTATAGCAAATGTTTAGCAATATATAATTCCTAGCTCCTAGTTCCACACTCTGTGGATACCGTGCAGCATGCACGACATTTTCCGGTTCTCTGAAGCTGGATCGTTGAGGTCGAATCACCGTGCAGATCTCTCACGTGACCTCTGAACGGGCTGGGATTGGAGGCTGTGAGTGAAGCATGCGACCAATTGTCACGTGGGCTTCAAGAAGCAAGGTGAGTTGTGGGTAGCTCCTGAAAAGTCCTGAATTGAGAATATTCAATCAGAAATGCAATTTACAGCATGAGCAAAAGTTTACCAAGCTGCAACAACCTTTAATTTAAGAGGTATTTCTCCCGCTTTCTTGGCATGCCTTCGTGGTGTGGTGGTCTGCACGCTCAGCGCGTAATTGAAAGGTCCGTGGTTTGATTCCCGGCGAAGGCGTTTGCTCATTTCTCATCTCTCTACCTTTTCCAAAATACCTAATGTCTCTACAGTGGCGCCCGAACTAAAAGGATGGTGCATGAGGATTCTCCTCATCCAGGATTTGGCGATTAGGTACCCTAGAAATCCCAGTCGCCCTTTAAAAAACGGGGCGTATTTAAGGTGTTTCTCCCGCCTTCTTGGCATACCTTCGTGGTGTTGTGGTCTGCACGCTCTGCGCGTAATTGAGAGGTCCTGGTTCGATTCCCGCCGAAGGCGGTTGCTCACTTTTCATCACTCTTGCTTCTAAAAAAATCCTAATGTCACAAACTAGCTTTTACTATAGTGGTGGTAATCTTTAGCAATTTTTTTATGGTGAGCATTACCTATTTTAGTCTTTGGCCACTTCTAAGGTTAGAAGCAGTGGTCGTTTTATTATGTAGGTACTTATGAGGTCGCCATTGTTATCTCCTATGAAGAAACAGACAATTTACAACCGTGTATTCTAACTCGAGGCTTTCGGTATGGCAGGTCAAAGTCACTAACCACTTTCCTGTCTAGTCGGCTTGGTTTAGAAAGTGGAAGAAAATCTGAAGCCAGTGAAATTCAAGACGAATTCGAAAAATGTTTAGCATTTAAAATTAATTTTTCTCTAATATTTAAGGGGAAAAACAATTCGTTTAAACTTCTAAATTTTAAGCACAGCTGAATTCACACAATTCCGTACTCATTCAAGATAATTTCGCTTCCCGTATTGACGTCAGATTACATCTGAGACTGATTATCAGAAATGAAACAGAGTAAGCTGTTTGAACACTCATGGACAGTAGTTTACAGGGGGACTAAACAATCTTATTTTACAGATTTATAAGCATGTCATAGATATAAAGGAGTGTTTTGGTCTTAGGAAAAACTACTTATAACTTGACGGTCATTTCTTTCTCTTTCCAATGGCGGGCTGCAGTTGTTTACAGGCGTTGGCCAATACTGAGGCCAGAAACTTTCGTCTCTTTATTAAGGAGGCATATAATAGGTGGGCCACCTTTGCTTCCTATAAAGGGACGGGCAACTTACATTCATGCCTTCTTCGGGATTTGAGCCCGAGCTCTTTGGTACGGCAATCAGTGTTACCAACAACATTCCCGTCTGGGCGGCTGATGCCAAAAATTTAGGTTAGAGGTTTGCAAGCATTTTCAATTCAAGGTATGCTGAATCCTAAGAACCTAAATTCCTTTATACGTAACGTAACCTAGATTCGGTTACGTTACGTATAAAGGAATTTAGTAACCTTTATACTTAATTACATATTTAGTATACTTAGTACTTTATACGTAACCTAGATTCGGTTACGTATAAAGCAGGCATGTCAAACTAAGTACCTTAAGTGGACTAGTGCATCTCCCACTGCATGCCAGAATAACCAACAAAGTATCAAAGTACCTTAAGTGAGCCAACAGTCATCATTTTACATTAGTCTGGGCCGCAAGGAAAAAAATGATATTTTAATACTTAATAATGTATTTCATATTATTAATTTTAAATACATTAATACTTAATAACTATGTATTATTTAATAATGTATTTCATTAAATGCATAAAATCTTACTTAATACAGTAGTTCTTTAAAAAAACAAAATAAACATAAGGAAATCGTAGTTTCTTTTGGGCAACTGGCATTTTTTCCACTGCAGTTGATTTTCAGATGTCTGGATTTTTTCTATTTAACAATTTGAAATTAATTTAATAGATTATTAGTTTTCTCTTTATCTCTTTACATTTTTCATAATTTAAATTTGTTATTAAATTATTTTTTTACTTCCTCACAGTCTTCCATAGGGCTCAGGCACTTCTAATTTTAGAAATTAAGCCCTGCTTCAAGGGAAATCATATCATAAGGGAATTTCTAATACATATAATCTTGTGTAGTACTATGTAAGTTCTTTATGTGTCACCTAGCTATCCGACTATGTAGTACTTTACCTATTCCTTGCGTTCACACAAAAAGGGCCCAAAAGATAAAGATCAGAACGATCAGGAGTTCTTGCAAACCAACTGAGAAATGACTGGTTTTACTCAGTTTCTGAGAATGTTTGTATAAAAGATGTTGCCATGACATGCATGCCAAGTGACTTAACTTTTAACACACTGTCTTGATTAATGCAAGTCTTGATGAATGACAAACAGTCTTGATGAACACAAATAAAAGATGTTGTCACAATATCAATCTGAATGCACAGTTTCTTCCAAAGTTCAGTTTTTTACAAACTTATGCACTAGCTTTCTAATTTAGTAGATTTAGGAGCAGTAGTAATCAATTAGGTTTATTGTACACCTTTGTGTCAGCTTTTATTATGCTTATTATGATACTAATCAGATCCAGATATTCAGCTTTGATATATATCTAAATTTATCATTTGATTAAAATCATTCCTAATTAACGTTCAAAAATTATCATTTTAATTAATACATTTCTTATGAATTTAATATATTATATTTTAATTAAAACTTTTATTTTAAAATTTAAACAAAAATGTGAAAAATATTTTGAATAATATGTAATTAAAACGATTATAAGGCATTTTAATTGAACTACCACTTAACAATTTATTTAATTTCAGTTATATTAAAAAGTGTTAATTAATATTTTTCATAAGTTTTTAAAATTTTAATTTTTGATGTGAATTGTTTATTTTCGTCAGTTGAGAATAACTGCAAATATGCACAGCAAATCAGAATATGATATTAAATTGAATATTCAATTTTTGGGTAATCATGGAAGGTTACAGAAATCTTAAGATTGCTTAAAATTTTGTATTATATTATAACAGAACTGTTTGGATGCAACCGAACTATTTTATCGGACGCCATCTAGTGGCGACGAAATCAACTTACGGCAGTCTATCTTCAGCTGCGTGAGAATTAATTCTCCAACATTATATCTCCGTGTCTCGAACGTTAATTCTAAATGTTAAATATTTCGTTTGGATGTATTTTCTGTTTTGATGTATGTTTTGTTTTAATGTATATTTTCTATGTAACTATTTATGTACTCTGTTAATAAATACTTTTAGAGCTAGCCGGCGTTTGTGTTTGTAGAAGAACGGTTACAGTATAACGAATGGAATTAGAAGCAACTGTACTACTACACCTAATACGTATTTTATTTTTCCCGATCATTTTTCAGTGACTGTCGTGACTTGTGACTTCGACAAAGGGACATTTTGCTCCTGGAACAACGACACTGGAAATGGAAAATTTGCCTGGAAAGTCAACGATCCTAAACGAAATGACGCTAAAATGCCGAAATTTGACCATACACAAGGAAATTATTTAGGTAAGAAATACACATACATATTATCTATTCGTGTTATGATACTAAGCTGATATAACTTTTAGCTTTATGACGCATAACTGACTCCTTGTGGGTCTTCTTAGAAGATGCTGCAATTTGAATTTCGAAATTTAGAATGTATTTTTAAATAATGGAGGCAGACAATAACAATGGCATGAAAGATATATTGTTGCGTGCGTACTGGTTCTTAATAGATTGAATGCACAAATCCGATACTAGGTTAATGAAATTTATTTTTATCAAAAGAAATATTTCAGAACTCTAGAATTTTCAACAGAAATATTCGTACAAGTGTTCACAGTATCATAGAGTGCAATCAGTAGTTACACTTCAAACTATTAAGAAAGTTAAACACAATGCAATGCAAAGCACATCTAAATAGAAAGCTAACTTGGATATCTCAGTTCACGCAGAACTAAGCAACATGCAACAACAATAACTAAGCAACTGAGAACAGATGCTCCCTGTCCGACCTTTTATAGTTTTCAGCCGGTCGCGTGAAATTTCTAGCACTTTCTGCTTCTCGAAATGATTGGAAAAACAATACAAGGGTGGAATTATAGTTACAGCTAACTGCTAACATAGTGGTCAATTGCATTTATTCAATTTCAATACATATTATGGTGATAGAAGGACCGAACAAAATGTCGCCAAATTTGGAGATTTATCATCAAATTTGGAGATAAAATGAGTCGCCAAAAGCGTTGTCAGCTTAGCGATATCTGTCCAAATTACCGAGATACCCATTTACTCAATGTTAAATGCACTTGCTGCTGTGTTCTTACTTTTCCGGTAGAAGTTTCTCTTAAAATTTGTCTCACGCTGCATTACACAGAAATATACAGCGATTTTACTTATAATTCTGTTAAAATTACCTATCTAAGTACAAAATTTGTGACAATACTATATTATTTAGAAAGTATCATGAAGAAAGAAAGATAATGAAAAACACGCTGCATATTATTATTTATGTTAAATTGTACACTGCGGGAATAAAAGGGGTCAGTTCTATATCTCCCGTTCTACTGGGCCAAGTGATAAAATTCAAGTTGCGTTTTTTATGTCTCGAAGGCTCGACTTAGAATATGTATTAGATTTATATATAGCATTATTCTAACAAAGGTATTTTGACACACAAATCAGATTTTTTCTGAAATAACATTCCAATTTTTTTACATATTTCAAACCTACGACTCAAATTATGCCAGACTGCCAAGTTTTGTAAAAATCACACGAGAAATTTTTAAAAAATTAGCTCTTAAAATTTTAGCTCCTCAATGTTAATTGAATTTGCTGTATATCCATTAATATTTCTTTTTTTTTATTAAACTTTTTATTCTTCCATTCACATTTAGAAATTAAGGTTCATTTCAAATAAAATTCCCCATTTTTTATGATTTATTTTTAAAATTTGTATATTTATAAATTTTTCGAAAAAAATTTTGAATTATAACCTATGAAATTTTTGCTATCATCTTAAAGTAGGTGTATTTCTAAGCATACCAGCAAAAATTTTGAGTTTTTATTCAAAATTTTCTAAGATATGCACGAATTTACATATTGGCGCGTTTTGAAATTTGGCATCTTTTTTTTTTTTTTTTTTTTTTTTTTTTTTTTTTTTGAGCGATAATAACGCCAAATGTGGTTTATGGATTTTGTTACGGTGAATTGCCACAGCTATTTTTAACCCTTAGGAAAGAACCTCCAGTTTAACTTTAAATTTCAAAGTTAAAATTGTACGGATAATTAATTATATGAAAATTATTTCCGTCTCAATGATGCGTAATAAATATTTATTAATATTATATGAAAAGCTGTTTTTTTAAGTTATAGATGATGATGTTATTCAAATTTTTTACTTTTTTAAATTTCTTTCTTTCTTCCTTTTTTTTTTTTTTTTTTTTCTAAATATATGTAAGAGTAAATTTTTACCTTCTCTCTGTTATCGCCTGCTATCTTACTTCATTTAAATTGCATTGTCTAAAACAGAAAAAGTTCGTTTGATGTTTATTTTCACAATGTTTTTAAGCAAACAAGACGTTGACAGCTTGGATCATGTCCCAGCTTTAAAAAATATATATAAATATAAATTTAATTAATTATAAACATTAATCCTCTCAGAAGAGACTGTTTTAAGTAGTAATTTTCTCTCGTGCTGTAGATTATATAAAAAACATGTTCTTTAGTATGGAAATTATTAGCCTTAAAAACTCTAAATAATGATTTAGATTGTTTGCAACCGACATAGGAATCGGGTCACTCGGTGGTATAGGACAAGCGCTGCTGCAATGGTTTATTTCTTTCTCATTTAACAAAAATCTTTTAATTGGAATTTTTATCCTTTGGACTTTGCTTCAAACTTTATTTATAGTTAAAATGTCTAGAAAATTAAAAGCTATCTTCAGCTGAAACGCATTTGATGCAACTGATATTTTTAATGCAACTGATAAATTTGACAAGGATGCAAAAGTTATGGAAGTGTAATAATCGAAAAATCTTAATTTTCTTTTGTCAGCACTGAAACCAAATGTAGAAGGAAAGAAGGAAATTAGGGGGGAAGCAAACTTTGAAGGGGAATCTACTTCAAGGAAGTTGGGTGTACAAAGAGAAAACACTTGGACGTGTACATCAGCGAACAGCAGCAATTGAGTTTGGGCTAACGGAAAAGTTAAAAACGATATCATTGCAGATTAAAGTAAAGAGCGACTGGTTTTCGACTATGTGGTTGTATAAATTTAAATTACGTCATGAAACATCATATCGTATCATAAACGAAACATCCCATGATTTCTCAGTCGAATTATTTGAAGATTCAGGAATGTATCCAATGACGTTTGTGGATGTCATCTAAAGACGTTTTCCCTTTTGATGAACCAAGATGTTTCAAAAAGTTGGATGCTTTTTAATATACTTGCATAATGCCTGAAGAAAAAAAAAAGCAAGCCATTAAGAAGAAAAAATAAATTTTTGCATAAAACTAAGTATTTTTTTTTAATTTACAATTTTTTAATTTTATGATATTTGATTTTTGCGATTTCAAAAATAAAATATTTGACTGAAATGTGAATAATACTTTCTCAATTGCAAACATTACTGCGTTCTTCGGTATTCGAACCTTCGGAACGGTAGTCAGCGTCACTAAACACGAGCCCGGTTGGGCGGCTAATAATATTAAATCTGACGAATGCAAAATATATATATATATATATATATATATATATATAATTAAATTATATATATATATATAGAACGTCTGAAAGAATCTATACATTTTCCCCTTTATGATCACGGATAATATATTTACTTACTTGCCTTAAATAATATACAACGAATCATTCAAATACTTATAGTGCTGTCAAATACTTAAGAATCGTTCTTGCTAATATACTGGGCTTAAAGATCGCAAAGAATCTAACAAAATAACCGAAATCCATAATACAGTAATGGTCTAAGAATTAAGAATTATAATATACTACTTCATAGGTCTAATTGCAGCTTTGATCGTGCCTTAAGTTATGAGCATTGAACTTTTTTCTTAAAGAGGAAATATAATTACAGTTTAAAAATTTAAAAAGCATTATGTTTAGCTGTGATTTTAATCATAGCTTATACCTGTTATACATTTTTTGTGTATATTTCCAATGACGGAGATCGTGAACAAGAAAAAAACAAGTAGTAGAAACAGAATAAAAATAAGCAGCAAGGGGGTGGAGAAAATAAAAGCAAATAGTAGAAACAACGTTAAAAAAGTTCAAAGGTCATCGGAGATACTCGCCCAAGACTCTTCTAACCTCCCAATATCTAGAAGCAACAATATCTGTATGGAGAGCTTCGCAGACACGCAAGTGATGTTGGTCTCTATGTTCATTTTATGTAGCTCTTATACAAAGCTTGCTATCCATATCTAATAAGTTTTATGTTTTCAAAGCAAACAATAAGAATTCTCCATAACTTAAAAAAATTACTATTCATTAATAAAAGCCTGAACTACCTGAACAGGTTCTAACTACCTAATTTGGTAATTAAAATGCTTGGCACAAAAGAATATAAATTTTCTCTGAATTTAATAAACTTAACTAATTCACCGAATAGCCAAATACAGAAGTGGGTATTGTATTCTGCAATGTTAAACAGTGATTAATCGATTCTTTTTCAATTTCGTGCAATATCAAACAGTGATTAATCGATTTCTTATCAATTTCGTGCAATATCAAACAGTGATTAATCGATTCCCTTTCAGTTTCGAGCAATATCAAACATTGATTAATCGATTCCTTGTCAATTTCGTGCAATAACAAACATTAATTAACCGATTCCCTTTCAATTTCGTGCAAAATCATTAATGTGCAAAATCATAAAGTGGTTAATCGATTTCTTTTCAATTTCGTGCGATATCGAAGATTGATTAATCGATTCCCTTTCAGTTTCCATAGTAGAGAGCATAATCGTTTTCTTCTAGTATTTGCTTTCCGGACCGTTGGGCTAGATATACAGACATTTTTGTGTTTTATTATATTATATAACTAGCAGCTTCGCTGCCAGCCTTCGTCTGGCTTTTAAATGTACTGAAAAAATGGCTGAAGGGAACACCAAATGTTAAATTTGAAAACTGCGTAGAATTTTAAGCTGCAGAACAACTTCATTAAAAAAAAGTTATTACGTATAACAAAATTACAATGAAATAAGCAATATCCCTTAATACAAAGTATTAATTATCCTAATAAATAAATAAACCAACTTGCCTTTGCAAAATCTTAAGAACTCAAATGGTATAAAGCAGGTTAAGAACTTTGTTTCCTAAAAAATCACTCATAACTTTTCAATATCTTAAAGACAGTGAAATGAGCAATAACTAACATAAAAGAATACAAAAAACAAAAAATTCTGAAAAGCAAAGTATAATTAATGATATTTTATCTTATATTTTCAAGGGAAAAAATTTAAATGAAATAAGCTATACCCCTTAATACAAATATTAATTATCCTAATAAAAGAATTAACCAACTTTCCGTTTAAGAGAAAAAATTATGCAAAACTTTTCAATATCTTACAAATAGTGAAATAAATAAAAAATAACATGAAAGAAACTCAAAAAACAAAACATTCCGCGCAGAATTTTACTCTGCAAAACAACTTTATAAAAAATCAATAAAAATGTATTATATATATATATAAAAAATGACAAGGAAATATGCCATTCTTTTAAAAACAGTGACATAAGAAATGCGATGAAAAATTGTTGCCAAACCCATATTTCTAAAAGAATGAAACTATTCAAAATGATGCGATTTCATCAAAATCTACCAACAACAATAAGACAGGAAAATTGTTGCCAAAATCACATTTTTAAAGATGTGAGATGTGAGAAGTGTACTCGGAAGCTTCATTTAAAAAATTCTTTTAAAATACAAAATATTATCATTTTTCCAAAATTCTTTTTGTAAAAGCAGTCGCAAGGATGAAAGTTTAACGTGTCCAAAAATCAAAGAAAAATAAACTGTACAATTTTAAAAATAAACTTTTTTAGAAAAAATCCCGTTGAAAAGGTGTTAAGCTCCCTTTGTTAAATAAATTCGTATTTAATCGATTTATTGAAACACGAAATTTATTTTTTAAGTTCGTAAAATAGCTAAGTACCTACGTTTTATGACGATGTGAAAATGGAGTGTGTGGAGTAAAATCTCGCTTTCCTATAGCCCATTATATGTCTCAAAATGACGCGATTTCGTCACAAAACATAAAATAAAAAAATATTCTAATTCGAATTTCGAAAAAATCGCCTCGAGGTGCACTGGATCTTGTCTAGATGCACCTATGTACCAAATTTCGTAGCCGTGGGTCTATTAGCTTACGCGCAGCGCGAACGAAAGACACACACACACGGACAGACTCTTTCTTTAATTATATGTAGAGATTATGATCTGGTTACGCAAATATATAAATGACTGAAAAATGTATAGAGCAAGGAGAATTGTAGAAACAAAACATACATCCTAAGATTTTTCTTCTGTAAACTGCACTGTAATTAAATTCATAATTTACATTCTTTTATTGACATTATTGTTATCATTTTCTTCTTATTTAAGATTGACATACTTGAGATTTATTACAGAAGCTGAAATTTGGTCTTTGGTCTGTGGAATAAATTCCCAAAAATAATTCTCAAAAATAAAAGCTTCTCATTTTTCCTTTTCCAGGTCGATATGCATATTTAAAAGGTGACGATACTTCAAATAAGAAAGCAACTATTACAAGTAAAGCAGTTCCAAATACATGGAATGGAAACTTCTGCTTCAGTTTCTGGTACTTCATGAATGTAGAAGGTCAAAACAGGTAAATTTATTTATTCCAGAAAGTAACAAATAATGTCTAATATACACTACTGTCCACCGTAAATGCAACACCCTGAAAGAAGTATGCAAATAACATGAACTTTACAACATGCATTAGCGAGGGTGATATGCAAATGATTAGAATTTCAGCGCAGACGCACATCACGCGCGACTGTAGCGTCACTTCAAAGCGCTATTTAAGGCTTCGAGTTTTCGACGATTTCAAATTCGGCAATTTTTTTTTTTTTTTTTTTTTTTTTTTTAGGATCAATTATGCCTTGTAGTAAACAGCGATCATCGTTTGATCAAGTATCCGAGTTCGACAGAGGAAGGATAGTGGCCTACCGAGAGTGTGCATTATCTTTCAGGGAAATCGGTAGTCGTTGTTGGACGAAACCAAACAACTGTAATGCGGATATGTGATCATTGTATGCAGGAGGATACGACGGACCGACGTGTTCGATCGCATCCACCTCAGTGCACCACTTCACGTGATGACAGAAACGTGCGCATGGCAGTGACGGATCGCTCAGTCACATCACGAACCATAGCACAGCACATTCAGTCTGTAACGCATCATCCAGTGTTTGCGCGTACCGTTCGACGCCGTTTACAGCAGAGTTGTCTGGGCGCAAGACGTCCATTGCTTCGTCTACCGTTGACGCAGAGCCACAGACGTCTCCGCCGCCAATGGTACGATGAAAGAAGGATGTGGACGGCAGAATGGAATGAAATTGTCTTTACTCACGAGTCACTCTTGTTTCTGCAACACCACGATGGTCGGATTCGAGTCTGGAGACACCGTGGAGAGAGAATGCTGAACAGCTGCGTTAGGCACCGCCACACTGGTCCTGCACTGGGTATTATGGTATGGGGCGGTATTGGATATCACTTTCGCACTCCTCTAGTACGCATTGCCGGTACTTTAAACAGCCAGGTGTTGGAGCGAGTTGACCTTCCTTACCTTCAGGGCTTTGCCCACAGCTATATTTCAACAGGATAATGCGCGACCACACGTGGCAGGCATTGTCCAAGGGTTCTTCGTCAATCGCCAGATTGAATTGCTTCCCTGGCCGGCTCGCTTTTCGGATCTTTCGCCGGTAGAAAACATGTGGTCCATGGTTGCTGAACGATTGAGCCAGGTTACATCTCAAGCTGCCACACCAGATCAACTTTGGCAACGTGTGGAAGCTGCTTGGTCTGCTGTACCCCAAGAACACATCCAAAGTCTCTTTGAATCAATGCCGAGGCCTGTGGCAGCGGTGATCTCCAACAATGGTGGCTACTATGGCTACTGATTCTGGAAGGAACCACACTTCACAGAAGTCTATAAATTTAATCCTTTGATACTTGGTCAACATGTTATCTACTAAATAAATTTTGTTGTGATATCTCTTGTCTTTCTTGGTGTTGCAATTTGATTGGCCAGCAGTGTAAGTTCTGAAATTAACTAAGCCCAGCCGAATGGGAAAATCAGCTAATTTCGTAATTGCCCGTATACTTCATCATCAAATAAAATTTTAATATATATTGGGTTGGCCAGAAAGTAATTTCGCTTTTCACAAATAGATTAGCGTTATATTCTCTTTGTTATCATTCTGTGAATTTTATACCCTTTTACGTAAGTACGTAAGTATTTCGCATAATTCAGAAACGAGTAGTTTTAGAATGTTGAAATTTTGTATGGAGGACTGTCATAATATGTAACTGTGCATCTCTCTTGGTGCAGTTGGCTAAACAATACGTATACATATATATATATGTATCTAATTATGTTATTTTAAAACAATTAAAAATATAATTATGCCTAGTATTTTCGCTCTTAAAGTTGCAGAAAATTATCATTAAAGACATAAAGTAAGAAATTTAGGACTAATGCTTTACGAATACGAAAATTTTGAAATTCATAATTAATAAATTTCAAACTATCTAATAAATGCAACAAAGAATTTAATAAATGTAAAAACGAAAACTTTTATTATTTTTCGAACATATATATATGTATATATATATATGCTGTATGACCTTAAATTCATTTAGTGCGAAAACAAGTTATTCTACTACTTGCACAAAACAAAAGTAAGTTAATAATAATTTATTTACTAAATAATATTGATTAATTGATTATATTATCTCCCAAGTTTAATTAATAGTAGAATTATCTTAAAAGAGTGAATCCATACTAGTAAGTTCCATTATATATATATATATATATACAGTCGTGGCCAAATTGTGGACACTTTTGGAAATTTTTATGTTTTTGAACTTTGTATGCATTTATAGAAAAAAACACAAAATGCAAACTTGTAAAAAATATATATAAAGAGAATTATTACTGAATCAATACAAAACACAAAATTAAAATTGCAATACAAAAAACGTTAAACGATAATAGTTATCGATATACATTAGATAGTGATGATTGCAATGAGTTATTAGTACTTAGTAGGATACCCTTTATTTTTGGTTACAGCTTCACATCGACGTTTCATTGAGCTGACAAGAGTTTTAAGCTCTTCTTTCGTTATTACATGATGCCAGGAAAACAATTATAGCCTCAATTAGTTCCCTTTTATTTGATGGGCGCCTCATTCGGACAAGAGTTTTCAAACGGTGCCACAAATTTTCGATAGGATTGAGGTCAGGACTGTTTCCTGCCCATGACAACAATTTAATGCTCTTTGTACGAACCACATCTCTCGATATTTGGCCGTGTGCCAAGGAGCAAATCCGCTGAAAAATAAACGAAGCATTGTTGGAAAAGAGATCTCTGATGGAAGGTAGAAGTTTTGGTTCTAGAATAGTCTCAATGTATTTTCTGGCATTCAGTGTCCCATCGATGACATGAAGGCGACCAATACCATCTGCTGACATGTATGACCAAATCATAACACTAACTGGGTTCTTCACAGTTACTTGAATGCAGTCAGGATGTAGATCTTCTCCTATTCTACGTTTTACATATTTTCGCCCATCGCTACCGAATAACGATATCCTAGTTTCATCACTCCATATAACTTGTGACCACTGATCATCTGTCCAATTAATGTGTTCGTTTGCCCACTGTAGGCTTTTTCTTCGTTGCTAAAAATTAAGATAAGGTTTTTCGTGGAATTCTACCTCTATGTCCAACATCTGTTAATCTTCTCCTGATTGTTCTTGAAATGGCAGAAACACCAGCATCATTCAGATCACTTATGATGGTCGCTGATGACATTTTTCTATCTTGGAGACATAGTCCTTTTATTCTTCTGTCATCAATAGATGTGGTGAACCTTTTTCGGCCTTTTCCTTCTTTGGATTTTATTGAATTTGTCTCCTGATATCGTAAACAAAACTTTCGGACTCCAGATGTAGTCACTGTGTAAGGATCTTAAGTTTTACTAACGTTTATTTTATTTTAAATCTTTACTATCACTTCTTATTTTCTACTTCCGGCCAGAATTATAAGCGTGAAGGTTTTTATGCAAAGTTTGTCTGGCGAACGCCAAGTATTTAAGTGTGGCCTTTTTGCCAAGCGAAGAGAGAGGAAGCAGTGAGTCGAAGCAGGCCGCTTACCTTAGAAGTTACGCAGTTGCTGGTTTGCCTTCCAGGCCAGAGGTTTTAATCCTCTTGATAAATTAAAACGTATTGTAGTGTTCACAGTCTCTGTACTACATACGGCTTCCTGTTATATACAAGGCCAATCTTCCACGTGTATTATTCTAAAGTTAAATTAGAGTTTAGTTTTATTTTTATATTTTACGTTAGACCCGAGTGGCGGTCATTGTATTCCGAAGTACGGAAATTATTGTAATATAGAGAAAAATAAAGGGTTTTGTATACCCTTCGTCTGTATCCTGTCTACTTCCCACATTAGTGAACATAGCTTTAGTAAGCTCTCTGTTCCGAGTCAGGTCCTTGTATGTTCCCGAAGAAGGTTAGAAGAAACATTGAACCTGATAGTGGCGCCCAACGAAGAAGAATAAACCATGGCCGAGTTTCAAGAAGAACCTGTGCTGCCTGCAGAAGAAACGGCTCAGAATCCAGAAATGCCAGCTGCCGCCCTGGAAGGATTTGGTTACATCGTCCAGACCATGCGCGCTTCGATGAAACCAGAAGCAACATTTAATGGAAACTCACCGGTAACCAGTTTTTTTGGAAAAATTGGATGACCACTTCATGCTCTACCCCGTGCACGAGTTTCAAAAAGTTACCTTAGCTACCAGCGCTTTGAGGGGCCAAGCGCTTAATTGGTTCAAATGTATAGGCAGAAGTCTCTTGGGTCAAGCAGGAAGTCCCACCTATACTTACGAAAATTTCAAGACTGCCCTAGTAAAAGCCTTCCCTGTCGTAAGGGATCGTGCGAAATTAGAAACGGAACTTTTCAGTATATATCAACAAAGAATCGAAAATCTCTCAAGCTTTATTTTAAGAAAAATTCACGTCACGTCTTCAAAGCTCTTGTATGGAAACCGTCCGGATCCTGAAATAATTCAAGTGATTTTGCCGAGGTTACTGCCCCAAGTGCAAGACTTTATTGAATTAAGAAATCCGACTACACTGGAAAAGTTATTTGAGCTAGCAATCCAGTTTGAAAGTAGAAGAACGGCGGACATTGAAAGAAGACGCCAATATCAACAGCGAAACCAATTTGGTGCGCCAAGACTACAGCAAACTCAAGCACACGGCTACGGAAGCAAAGCGAATCAGTGGGCAAGGAAACCCGAGCATTCAAAAACAGCCGGCGAACGTCGACAGTTCAATAGCAATCCAGGAAAAAAAGTCTCAAGGCCAGTGGAAAAAGAAGGAAAGCACGGAAAGGAAAAATAATTTAAACTAAAACGGATTTCTGCTGACGAGAGGGTGCGGAAATCCGAAGGCCGAAAAACCCCTCTTCCTTCAAGTTAAATACAGTAATGGTGAAAAATTTGACTCTTCCGAAGATTGAAGTGTTGGTGAATAATATCCCAGCCACCGCACTCCTGGATACAGGCGCGCAGTGTTCCTGTGTGGCAGAAG